TTCTTAATTTAGGTCCTCAGTATGGCACAGTGGAGCGTGCCTGGTTAGGAGTGATGGCAGAGGCAGAGAAGGTCAGCGAGCTTCACCAGGAAGTGAAAAACAACCTTATCAATGAAGATTTTGAAAAGGTGAAAAACTGGCAAAAAGACGCCTATCACAAGCAGATGATGGGAGGATTTAAGGAAACCAAAGAGGCAGACGAGGGCTTTAAAAAGGCACAGAAACCCTGGGCCAAGAAGCTCAAAGAGGTAGGTCAATGAGCAGCTATCTGCAACACAAGCAAAATGGCATAACATACAAGCTAAGCTATTCATTCTGCCTTGTTAGTTGGAAACTGCCAAGAAATCCTACCACATGGCATGCAAAGAGGAGAAGCTGGCATCCACAAGAGAGGCCAACAGTAAAGGAGAGGCCTTTACAGCTGACCAGCAGAAGAAACTTCAAGAGAAAGTGGAAAAGTGTAAACAAGATTCACAGAAGGTGGGGACTAAAACATGCATTTTCTAGCTATTTAAAGTATATATCAGTGAGTACCAATTTTCGGTTATATCGGCGCATAATAGATGCCATAATAGATGCCACTGTGTGCTTAATCGAACTGCTCCTCGATCTTCATGTTTTATCTGTTTTTGTTTTTTTTTTAGTTTTATGATTCATCTAATACAAGATCAGAGGACATGCTATTAAGCATATAGATATTATCTTATTGACTGCCATATCTGCTTGTGTGCATGTAAGTGCTGATAGTCAGTGGGGCCAGTGGCACAGATTGTCAGTACCCCAGGGCAGCTGTGGCTACGGAAGAACACTAAGTATGGTGTGAATGAATAATGCAATGTAAAGCACTTTGGGTGTCTTGAAAGGCACTATATACGTAAATCCAATGCATTATTATTATTATTGATGACTAAAATAGGTTTATTAGCTACAGTCTAAGAGATAAGATTCTATACTACTACCTGTCGATACTACAAGTGCTTGAAATAAGCCTGTATGTACTTTACTAAATGTATACCAGCCTTATGTGTTACAATGTGTTAATAATTCACTTAAAGCTTGAAACAGGTTTCTGTACTTAAAAATAAATGTTTAGCAGTAATTCCCACCCAGTTTTTTAAGCATTACAATGTGTATTTTAGGCCAAGGACAAATATGAGAAAGCCCTAGATGAGCTGAACAAGTGTACGCCTCAGTACATGGAGAATATGGAGCAGGTGTTTGGGCAGTGCCAGCAGTTTGAGGAGAAGAGACTGGCCTTCATTAGGGAAGTGCTGCTGGACGTCAAACGACATCTCAACCTCACAGAGAACCAAAGGTACACATACTTACAGATTATCATCAGATTTTCATCTGCTCATAACTGATTTAACATGTCTTTTGTGTAAATATATTCAGTTATTCTACAGTTTATCGTGAACTTGAACGCACCATTACATCAGCAAGCCCACAAGAAGATCTTAAGTGGTTTAGTAGTAACCATGGTCCTGCCATGCATATGAACTGGCCACAGTTTGAGGTACAAATTGAGGCTGAATTTATTATTCTTATTTTCAGTGTTTGAAGTTTCAATATTGCTCTTTAATATTCAATTTCCTGATTTTAGGAGTACAACCCAGACTTGGTACACAGCATCACAAAGAAGGAGAAGTCAAGGAAAAACGATGGTGTCACTCTAACAAATATCTCACATGGTGTGAACCATGCTCAGGCAGGAGACAGGGGAAGGTGAGTCACTCTCACTTTTAATGCTGCTATTTTTATTGTTGTACAAATGCTCTTGAATGCCAAAGAATTAAAAATGGTAACTTTGTGTGAAAATAATAACTGAACCGTGCAATTTTCAGCGTTAGTAGTTATGAGAAGAACCAAGCGTACACAGGCTCCACTGAGTGGTCAGACGAGGACCAGACAGCCCCTAACTCTGGTAACGACACAAACGGAGGAACAAACCCGTTTGATGAAGATGTGGGCAAAGGAGTGAGGGTCCGAGCACTGTATGACTATGAAGGCCAAGAGCAGGATGAGCTGAGCTTCAAAGCAGGTCAGGGCCACATGCATCCCAGATTTGTTTGAAATTATTCATTTTTATATCACACAGGATGTTAAAACTAATTAAAACTAACCAGTCAATCATAATATTTCCTGACACTGGTCTATATAGCTGATAAAATGATCATGAATACATATTCTACATACATATTCTACCTAATGAAGGCCATGTTGATAGAAAAATCTGTTATTGACTTCACTTACAACTATCTTGATTGATATTGAAGAGTGATTATTTCTACGTTTCTAATCTGCAAAGTCTAATGTGTCTGACCTGCTCATTTGTCTGTTACAGGTGATGAGCTAACAAAGCTGGAGGATGAGGATGAACAGGGTTGGTGTAAAGGTCGCCTAGACAACGGCCAGCAGGGTCTCTATCCAGCCAACTATGTGGAGTTGATCTGATGCTGCTTGAGAAAGGACTGAAGCCTCCAGTGACACTGCACATTGCCAGGGACTTGAAAGCAGAACCTCCTCTTCCTGTCCAGCACAGTGAGCTGTCTTCACATCTCACACAAGAACACCTTGTATTTGAGAGCATCTTCAAATACTGCAGCTTAGACTCATTGAATTTGTGTGCAGCTGTATTGAATTTACACATGCCATATCTTGTATTGTTTTAGCATTTGATGGATATGGTATTGTGCCTGGATAGCGAGAAAGAGCTATGCATTTTGCCTTCATGTATATATTTGCATTTTTTTAACAGTTCATATGCTGTACAGTCGTTACCCATTGACTGCTTCTTTCTTTGTGAATATTTTTTTTTATGTTTAGACCTAGTAGAGTAACATTTTTCAAAGAATAGTAATATATTTTAATTTTAACATGAAAAGGTAGATACCACTAAATTGTTTTTTTCTGTTAAATATGATTCTTTTTTTTGTCTCTTCAGACTGCTGATAAATATTAAACAAATATAAATGAAACCATTGATTTAAAAGACAAATTAAAAAAATACACCACTTTATCTGGCTACTGGTGCATTGACATAGGTCTGTTAAAGGTGCACTTCGTAAATTTTGGATAATCTGCCATCAACTTGTCTCCATGTTGATGCTACTGATTTGCTTGGAATGTTTCTCAGTATGACATTAAAACTATCTTATCTTGCATTTATTCAATTCGAGGTATTTTTAATGCTCAACTCATGTGACCTGTAACTTGACATGACTTGGTGACATAACTTTCCATGACGATAGTTAAGTTTAAAGCCATAGCGTGGAACAAATAAAGCTATAGCATCTCAATAGAAACATGAAGGTGACAGACCCTCTACCAGAAAAGTTACATAGCGCACCGTTAAGAGCTTCTTTGGTATCATATTTAATAGGAAATATACAGTTGTCTCGTCGGCCTCCTTAAAACCTTAAACCTTACTTTCTATCTTTTTATTAAACCTTACTTTCTGTCTTTTGTGAATAATTTCACTTTCTCCACAGCAAGCCATTCGTTTAGCATTTTTAAGCAAGATAAAAGACAGCTCTACATGTTCCAACCTCCAAAGCCTCTCTTAACATGGACGTTTTTACATGACCTTGGCCTCCTCACCCTGTAAACAACTATGTGCCTATTTTTGCTTACCATTACTTCTGACTGTGCTAACACTATGAAATGTAAACACTCTTGTGTAGGCCTTGTCTATGGACTGTTTACGATTAGTTACATTATGTGGCTCGGCTTTATCAAACTTGCCGCTCTTATCTGTGAGTATGCGCATGTTAAGCTCTCATACTTGCCTTCTTCTGCAGCCAGTCAGTGCATGGCAGCCATTTGTTATTACTGAGCAAATACTGACACAGACCAATCCTTAAACGGTATGACTACGTACTGCTGAAGTGAATAAAATGTATTATATTTTCATCTAGGCATTTCTTAGCTAGTGTTAACTGCTCAACAAGTTAATGTCTGAGAGGCAAGAAAACTGGGTAGTACAGGAGCAAGTATTTAAGCATGTTTGAGGAAATCTCATATTGTGATGGCAAGATGACTATTTCAGACTGATGTTTTCAAAATCAATTTTCATGCAAAGGGAAGGCTCAGTACTCATCTTGATTTCTATTAAGAGGATCAAAGTTATTCAAAAATATTCAAGAATGTTTTATAAGTTAGTATCTAGTGTCAATATTAGTTTTAGTACTGAACCCTGTTTCAAAACTCATAGTGGTCTGTGTACTCCAATAATTAGCTGTTTTTACACTGCATCCTCTCAGTATGGAGCTGCATATTGGGCTGGAGGTCTTTACTTTATACCTCAGTGAAAGTCCAATAATGCAATTCAAACAATGTGCAATATTAAGAGTGAGAAGTCCTATGATAAATGAGATTGGTCTGTTGCTCCTTGTAACCGCAGGTGTTAGTGAAAACTATACCTCAAGCAAACGCTGCACAAAAAGCAGAAAGACGATCTGTGTCTGAAATATTGATGAGACTGCACATTCATTTTTTATAGGATCCGGGAGGGAGTTTTTTTTCTCTGCTTTTTGTTTTTATACAATACAACTTATTTTTCATAAACTGGAGTTAGAGTTGATGTCTTAAGTAATGCCTTAGCAAAAATGTAACACCCAACATATGGTACAAAACAGAGACAAGTTGTCAAAAAATAATATATTGGCTACTGTACCTTGTTTGGCTGTGTTACTCACTGTGATACTAATGTGACACATGTCGTGGACTTCAAATCTTTGAAAACTGCTCAAAACGCTCCGCTTTTTTTGTCTGTACATGTATGACATTTAAGAACACAAGAGGGCTTTCTCTTTTTTGCATTGTGCTGTACATTTCTAAACTGTAGTGCCTGTCCATCTGCAAAAATAAAAAAAATAATGTCATCTGAAAATCGAATTATTTTGTACTGTGAAAAAGTAGAAAGCAGTAATTGCCCATTAACATTACTTAGGAAGATCTACCAATAGAGGGCGGTGTTAGGTTCATTTCTTCAAGTTGCACACGTCAAAAAAACAAAACAAATACATCTGCTCAATTCACTGACTGTGTCATACATAATATAACTGCCAAAGATTACACTTGAATGATTGTGACAGTTCTGGCATAATTATAATTTCAGATGTCTTACAGCATAGCCACCAGAAAAAAAAAAAATTAAAACAAAATGTTCTTTATGCAAAAGACTGAGAGAAGATTAGTCATAAATTTTAATAGCAGGCTTACTTGCGATATGGATGTTAATCCAAACAGCAGTTTTGAAGGAAGTCGTGAGGTACAACAGTTACCTCTCACAGAACACAGAAGCTGCTTAGAGAGTCACATTTACCAGTATTAATTCCATACTCAGTATGTTAAATTTCAAGTATAATCGCAAATCCAAAAAGATGTATAATATATTTAATCTCTCTATATCTAATCTCTCATCAATATTTCTGTAATTCCAGGACTACATGTCTATATTTTGAGGTTGATATCTGACAGATTATGCTAAATCGATTTTAAACTTTACACGTAAGAAAGAAAGAAATAATAAAAATGACAAAAGCAGATTAGAAATATGAATGGACTGTGTACCGAAATCATATGTTCACACATGTACCTCATCAAAGATAACAGGCAGATGCACATTCAATATAAAATTAAAGTACAGAGAATATATAATGGAACTTGTTTGTACTGAGGCACACCTCAGTACAAACAAGTAAAAACATTCACAGTGTATTATAAAATTACATACAGCATGGTTGAATGAAAAAAAAGCAACATTTATTAGGAAAGTGCCCAGCTTTGCAGTGGTTGATGGGAGATAGCTGAGTGTTTTTACCAATGAGGACCAAACCGAAAAAGGAAGCAATCTAATAATCATCGCCCCAGTTCTATGGTAAGAAAAACTGGTTCTTAAGCACACAAATATCATGGTTGAGATATAATACAGAGACAAAAACAAATGCCCATGGGCCATGCTCCTGCAGCTCTGATCTCACGGCAATTACCTCGCTTGATGTTGTGACTAAGGGTTAGGAAATAGAGAATCAGAATGGCAGTATTTTTATCTGTGTTGTTATGTTTATATATCTCCTAAAATAGCTTCCTTGTTTTGTCCATGCACAGGAAAGTCCTGACACCTTCATCTTAGTATCAGCAAAATTCAACCAAAAAGTTCCAACTACACTACTAAGACTGTAAATACAAACACACATTAACAAGTTGTAAAAAACAAATTTAATGTAGTTCAGTTCTTAAAGTGAAAACTGTACATTGTACATTGTCAACACATAAGTAAAATGTATTTTAAGATATATATTTTTGTTGGACTAATTTGATGCATTATATCTACAGTATCTTTTTAATGTGTGTGTATTAAATCTTTAATACACAATTTATATTACATTGAAGTACATTATTCACTTTTCCACAATGTTTTAATTGATTAGTGTGGAAATGCATCTATCACAACTATGATTAAAAACATATTCAGCCAAAGCATTACAAAATATTTGAACACAGGTACAACCCGGTATAAGTCAGTGGTACTTCATCTTTGGTCTATTTGAAATGTTTAGTAGTATATTTTGTTGTACATTTAGGTTGGTCAGTGCACTCTTGATCCCACTCTTCCCTCATAGTCTTTCGTGTTGTACCTTGTCCCTCACACTGGGTGGACAAACTGGTACACCAGTCTCTGGGACACATCTGGTTTGCGGATGATGCCCTTCTTGTAGTACTGGCGAATAGAGCGGCTCAGTTTGTCATAGTTCATGGCTGGTCTGTTCTTCCGGAGGCCCCAGAGTCTGGCCACGTGAGCAGAGTCTTCTATTTTGAAAATACCTGGTGTAAGGTAATTACATTATGTGGCATTAAAACAGCATTTTGACATGAAAAACATATTATACAGATTGGGTTATGGTACCTTTTTCTTTATTTAACCAGAGGATACAGCATCCATAGTTGTGAGGTTTTAGAAGAAGTTCCTTAAGAAACTGCCAAAGATGAATTGGCTGTCTTGAAGAATCTGCCTCAGACCACAGCCCGGCAGTCACTGTAATAGAGAAGTAGCACAGTTACATTTCACTAATGTCATGTTACAGAAAGAATAATAGTGTGAAGAGATTTTAAGTTACACATGTGAGATTATAATAACTAATATTATTTGGTAGTTTCACAAAATCTGAAAAAGACAAATTATTTCTTAATAAAAATTTACACACTCACATAAATGATTTGTTTATACATTTTTTTTCCTCAATGCAAAAACCTTTTCAGCATGTATGTTACTGGTACCATTTCAAAATTATTTCATCTACTTAAACAAAAAAACTAGAAATACACACCTTTGGTATCTTCCACCGTGCATCTTTCTTTCATCCAAGCAGCTGCAAAATAGATAATTACAATATAAATATAAATATGGCAATATTATTACTGTGTCGAAATGTAAAGGTTAATCATAATGCAGGTGTTTCATACCTGACTTCCAGATATCCAAGTGAGCATGTAGTGTGTCTCCACAGTGGGGGGATCGCTGTCGAAATTCCTCTTCAGTCATGCTGCAGAGGTCTTTCCCTGACAGCTCCTGAAAAACTTTCCCGGCATGAGGCAACCTGTAGAGATGCTCCGTCCACAACAGCCACTTCTGAACATGACTGGAATTCCACTCAAAGGGGTCTGATAGGGAAAGAAAAAATAAACCATGAGAGTTCTTCCAGCTGCATTATAGGATTGGGGTTATTAGAATAATTAAGACTATATGGTGTTTGAAAAGCAACCTATGCGTACATGATAATTATCAGAAGACGCGCCCTGGGTGTGCATGCGTTTATGACATAGAGAGGTGCACAATGCCAATTACTTTCTCTGTTGACTTTAGCAGCAATGGGGACCTCACCCTTAAGAATTGTGTACACATCTATTGGCAGAGCCATCACTGTTATAGAGCAGCACAAGACATGCAAAGGTCAGGATTACACAGATCCTGGTGATGACAAATATGGCTGTCGTCAGTAGAACAAGACTGAGGAGAACAGTTATATTTCTTAATACTCTAATCTAGATTAATTCAATTGCTTGTGCTTGACCACATTAAACCTATTTTTGGCTACTCCTCCCATATTTGTATCTTAATGAAATAATAATAAGAAAACATATATAAAATAAAAGATCTGATTTTGTGAAAGATACCTGGTGGAATGTTGAGAAGTTTGCAGGCTATTTCGATGTCTTTGAGCACCTCACCCACCACCATGCTTTGCACCTGCTCCAGTGAGCGCTCTGCTTCCTGCTCCTCTACGCCACAGGGGGACAATCCCTGCTCCTGGCTGTCAATGATAGGACACTGTTCAGGCTCGTCTCTCAGCTCCAGCAGAGTCATGGGTGCTGCTGAGGTCGGAGATGCTTCTGACACTTTGTCACAGTGAGTGTCCTGTGTGAGTAGCACGTCAAAGCAGGACAGGTACAGACTGGGGACATTGGTATGCTCCACACTGTTCATATTGGCTTTGGTCTTGTCCACATCCCATCCAGGGAATCTGGTATGATCCAATTGAGTAAGGGAGTCGTCTGTTAATGCCATTTGGGGTCAATACAGTGAGTCATATGATAAACTTCTGACAGAATTTGACAAAGCTGCCACCTAAAAAAGACAAGAACAAATTTTGTGTCAAGTTGTTCTTTTAAGTTAGTTGTTCCATGTTTGGGTGTGAAGCTTTAACAGCAATGCTTAAAACTGAGTGAGTGCAGCTTGCTTCTCCTCTAGAATCCCAAAGCCTAAAAGAGATACTTAGACCCTTAAAAAAGTTATAGCACACCAAGAGTTTAAAGGCAAAATGGATCTGCTCCAATCTCTTATTTAAGGGTAATTTCCCCAGAATAGCTTAACTCTCTGGAGAAGGTGACTTGTATTGAAAGCCTGAACCAGCTCGGCCACCTGCATGCTCTTTCAAGGTAGTGAGGCCGCAACTTTCTGTCTTCACAGTCAGCTGGGGGCTTTTTAATCAAATTCAAGTTAGATAATGTAGAATGATCTGTGTTTAAATGTCAAGGAGATATCCATGGTAAGTGCTGCTTTATGGACATTTATGGGAGTGCAACAAGTGTTGTAATCTCAGGGCAAACTGGCAATATGTGTACCTGCCGCAGATGGCATATAGAAAGGCACATGGCTGGATAACACTGGGTTATCAGCAACAGACAGTAAAAGTGATTTTAGACTCACAAAACACATGTTCAAAATGAGCAACTAAAGATAAAACATTAAAGTTATTGCCTTCAGTAGAAAAAGTGATAAACAGTACAGTATCTTGCATTAATTTTGTCATCACAGTATTCAACAAGTTTAAATGAGTTGTCTGACTTGCTTCTTACAAAGATCTCATTTCTGGTCTTTCTGGTCCCCCAGTGCACTTTTATCTCCAAGTTTCTCATGACTGTGGACCACACATTCTTTGCCTACACCAGGAGTCAGATGAAAAGGCAGTGTATACCGGCTGAGCTGCAGTGTGTCAACTCCACTCTGTAACAGCTTGCACTAAGCCCATTAGTAAGGCAAATTTAGCCATATCACCCTTTTCCAAAAGGAAGAGGAGCATAAGAAACATACAAAAACACACCTCCCCCACACAGAAGGATTAGGGAAGTGACTGATCTCTAAATGAGTTTGGTCAAGACGATGATATTCATTTTAGCGGTATTAGAGCTGCACCATTTGCACACCAGAGTCAGCCTGGTGAACAACTGGAAAGCGAATCTTTTTTTTGCACCAGGATCGTATTATTTCATAAGAGATGGTTTTAGATCAAGTATAACTCAAGCAAATGGATACATTGCAATCACCACAATCAGTTAATAAAGGAAAATGATTTCATTCAATGTGAAACACAAGTTAATACTGAGCAAGAGAAGTTAATATTATGTGCACTATTATTGGGAAGTCATTATGCTGCCCGTATAAGTCATTAGACGATAGTCATGTGCATGCCTAAAAAACAAAACAAAAAAAACATTACATTTTGAAATTAAAATTTTGCAATAATTTCAAAAAGTGAATATCTAAAGATAGGCTAATAATAATACTAATAATACTACTACTACTACTACTACTACTACTACTACTACTACTACTACTAATAATAATAATAATAATATCATGCAGCCAATTTACAAAAAACAATGTAGGCTGGCTTAAGAAAGTTTTTTTTTTTTCTTTTCTTTTTAATAGGCCTACCCTACATCAGGCACATTCGTGATTTTTGGCTGTTATTGTGCAAAATTAGAGCACAAAAACAGTAATTGTTAAATTTGGTGACAGAGAAATAAAATGGGTTAAATGTTAACTATTCAAAATGTTAGGGTTAGCAAAATGTAACAACATCTTAGGTTTGGAAAAACACACAATCACAATTTAGGCCATTTTCAGCAATAATACATATCTAAATGTATTTTAGAAAAATGTTTAAATCCCCATGCAATTACCCACAGTACAATGACATAGACATTGACATGAAAAAAGTGACTCTTACCACTGAGGGTATGCTCTGGTGTCAAGATGAAAATATTTCCTTTCCAAAACAAAATGCTCTTGTGCTTATGTCTGTCTGTAAGTGCTAGGAATAGGGCCCTCCCAGACTCCCTGGAGCAGAATCCAACAGCCTATGCACACAGCCTAAAGCACAACTGCAAACTGATCTCCAAATGAAAGCACCTGCTGGAAGTGTGTTCAAGGCAGCAGCAGCAGCAGCATCAGCACTGTGGCAGGGTGAAGGAATTTCACAACAATCCATCCACTGCAATTTGTATTTATAGGGCTCTAGTGTTTACTTATGCACATCAGGCATGACGATGTTGTTGCTCCCTCCTTGGACAACCAGCTTGACTGAGCAACCTATTGTAATCTATAAGAAAAGATGGGACGGGTAAAGTTTGGCAGAAAGTTAAGCATACATCATGGGCATAAAATACTTAGTCATCAAACTAGAATATTCAGAACAAATCAAAAACTTCCACCAATTCCCGCACAAAGATAAGAAGAGCGGGTATGAATCTTGTATCTTTTGCTAAATTGTCAAGATGTATTTCATTTTATTCTGTAAATTTGTAATTCGATGCTGACTTGCCCAAATATGCTAACAGATACAGATGCCTTAATAGGTCCATCATGGTTGATGCTAGCAAATAAGCTAACACTAATATTTGTCATCTAAAATGACGAAAAGGGGTTTGACTAACTAATTTAATTACATCACTGGATGAGGGAACGTTGGACTAAAGGCGATCTACTTTGGTAATGAGAGCCTACTTATTCTTACTCATGAGTATCTATGATTCTATGCTACTCTATAAGATTCAAACATTGTTTTCCACAGTAAATGATTAGTCTGTTAAAATGCAGGGATTCTGCTAACACAATTTCTATATTTACTGATTGTGTGCGTTTTACTGGTGGTTTAGTATTGCTAACAATGAAATCACTTTAATGCTTATCTGCTGATCTAATGCTAATCTTTCCTTTCTAGACTTGCTTTTAATTCTAGACTGGGCTTACAAATTTGCCAGAATGATATCTGTCAGTATTTTATTTTTGTACAGATGGATTATCCATCTGTATGGCATGGCATCCATCATGGATATCAAATCTTCATAAAGATGCGTATTCTGGATCCCAGGCAACCCACAAATTGATTCATGTTTTTTTTTTAATTTGAGAAATCATATTTCTGTTTTTGTTGAATAAGTTTGGAGTGGTTATCCAAAAACAATTGTTAAAGGTGTGCAAGAATAACTGACACATCTATGTACAGACACACCTTTTTAAACCATAAGTAAGTGTAAGCTTGGCTGCAACAGAAAAAGAAAAAAAGCATGCATTATAGATATATATATTAGTGTTGTTTTGTGCCTTTCTTGCATGCAAATTAAGCTATACAATATATAATTAAACTCCCTTGAAATCAAAGACAGCAAGCTTTAATTTAAAAAATACAACACATTATTTTATACTTACTTCATTAACTGCCTGTTCTGAGCATCAATTAAAACATTTTTTATTTATATTTGAGCTTTTGGTTTTACTTCTTAACCAAACCAAAAAATTTACATAGTCTCTTGCACATTATCTCGTCTTTGCTCTTTAGTGGCTTTATTATGACTGACAGACCGTAACTTAAAGACGGAATACAAAGTTTCAATTGATCAAACCTGTGAGTGATAGTGATACAGTTCACTTGGTAAACAGAACCACCTTAAAGCATATGTTCAGTGAATAGTGTGACTTGATGAAGTCATTATTATAAGCCTGATGGGAAGTCAGGCTACTTACATAAAACTGCTACTGGGAAACTTGATGATAAGATATATTATCAACAGTGCATAACTGTACAGAGCATACTGAGGCATCATTCAATTACTTACTTCCTTATTAGAATCATAACAGTTTTGGATGGGACTCTTTTCTTCACACATTTGGGCTCTGTGCCAAGTTAATGTGTTGTTAGCATGTGTATTTGGTTTATAGCCTAATGAATCATTTATAGAGAGAGAGAGAGAGAGAGAGAGAGAGAGAGAGAGAGAGAGAGAGAGAGAGAGAGAATTTTCTCTACTTTACTTATTGGTAACATGTCAACTAAACACATGCAAAGGTGATCATTTGTGGTTGCATTGTGTTCAACCTAATTCAATAACAGTCACACGGGGTCTTGAATGCAAATTTTAGGAAGGAGATGATGTTAGTTTACACAGCATAACTTGACTTGACCAGTCTCAGCTCTCTTCACCTGGGGGAACCCAATAGTTTTTAAACAGTTGTTCTTTGTTAACAATTTTTTGACAGAAAACTGCAGTATTAAAAAAGCTAGACCATGTTCTTCATGTTAAAATATCAAAGTAGTTATATAGCAGCATCAGTTCCCTTTGCTAGCAGCCATAAGTCTGTATCAATAGTAATCACTTGAAATATAAATATTCAGGGCCAGTGACATTTATGCTGTTAAAAGATAAATAATTCCTTTACTGATAATATTATGCAATGTTGTAATGTTGGGGTGGTTCAACAGATTTCAGTTACAATATAAGCATTATCAATTCAACACTTTGGCAGACTACCCTCCAGGCAAACTTATGCAAATTTAATGTTTTGCTACTTTAAAGTTAAAACAGAAATGGTTATTTTCAGATTTACTGTTACATTGATAGTGACTAAGATTATGAATGTACCTGATGGATTACATACACCATGATTTACATGATCAGACAATACTGTGATTAGAACATTTGATTAAGAATAAAACACATGCTATAATGACACAATATGTCAGCATTCTGTCTAAAAAACTCAAGTACCACTGTATCATTCGCATGCATTAGACATCATGACAATCTAGACTGATAAATTCAGAGAGAGATTGCTAAATTAACATTGCCTCAAGCACCCATTTATTTATTTATTTCTAAACCTGTTCTTTTAGAAATGTTTTGGCTACCAGTTTAGAAATATTTACTCTCAATACAAAATGTCTCATTGTTAGCCAAATCTTTATTATATTACTATGTACTGGTAATACTGCATATATATGTACTAATGGCAGTTTAAAAACATAACATAATACTATTGATTCATATGGAGGGAGATGACAGATATCCATGGGGCAAAGTCAATATTTCTTCTGCCCTGACATGTCAGCAGAGGCACCCATATGTGTCCACCGCACTGTTTATGTACGTGGTCATTGCATCCATATTTTTACAGAAATTTTATTTGTAGAGCACAATTCATTCACAAAGTGATTCAAAGTAATTCAGCAAAGGGAAACAATAGCATTTGGAGGTGTCCGCTCTAAGCCTGTCAATCACTAGATTTAGAATGGGAAGCAGATAAATGTATGGTTGTTTATTTAATCTGAGTCTTATAGTATAGATAGTAGTCAGACAGGTCTGGATGTATTTCTTTGGAAAAAAAAAGTACATCCATCACTAAACCAACACAACTATTTGTTGTCATATTTCTCAGTGGTGAAAAATGGTTTTAGTGGCATTTATCTAAACTAAATACTAGGGTATCAAAGGCATGTAAGTAGTTGAACATTACCAAAACCATTCAAACATTTTTTTTTTCATTCTTAAGTTAATCATACAAATAATTCATCATACACAAGTACAGGGAACTCTTTCTCTCTAGATAAATGTGTTATCGTAAAACAGTCAGCACACTGACAATTTCAGTTTATTTGTAACATCACAAACATTCAACCCACATAATGTACCCAGCATTGCTTATATTTTCACCTCAGGTGGCTCTTACAGTCTCACTCAAACCAGCAAACTCACTTGTGTCAAGAAAAAAAAGATTATTAAAAACACCTGACATGAATGAAGAGGCGCTGCAGAGCAGTATGCACAAAACACAATGAGCTGCCTAATAAAAATATGGAAGATATGAATAATACTTTAAAGACAACATAGAGAACGCAATTATATCCAGATGTAAAAGTTGCTAATATTGTGAACTTAAAAGTAAAAAAAATATTACAAAATGTTAGAATGCTGACATTTTATTTTCATCTTAAAACCCAATGAAATCCAACTGTGGAATTGGAAAAGCAACCACCCTGGGATCTGCAAACAGCAAGTGTTCATAATAATAAGAATAATAAAAAAACAAAACATTTACGCTGCAAAAATAGACTTTTGAACAGAGCCAATACACATTCAGCCTTTCAAGATGCTGGTATTACAATCCACCATCAGCCAAAACTCAACTCACCTGCATTGTGCAAATAGCAGTAACAGAACATCAGTGCTACTCATCCAACCTCAAACTGACAGAAATCTTATTTTACAAAGTAGTCAGCATGATGTCAAGTAAAGTTTGTGTGGGACATTTTAGCACCACCTGCTGGCTGTCATTGGGCAACTTGTATGCAGTGCACAGACACTAGGGCAATGTAGTAAGTAACCTATGAAGAATCCCTCAACAATACTTTCAGAGGTACGTGGGTCATAAAGCTTCAAAACAAAATTGTCATCCCTTTCCCAAGAAACACACATCATTTTATACAAGTTTTTAAAAAATGATACAACTCTTCACAGATGATCTAGTTTACAGGGACTCAGATGCTACAGACATCAAACTCCAAAATCAGGAATATTGTCATGTTACAATGCACTTACAACAGTCCGTCTCAGACTTTTCTGGAGGAGGGTAAGCTACCTGCTTATCTCCATGGACATGTTATTGTCTTATAAATCCCACAGTATGAAGACAAGCATGATCATACTGAGAAAACTTTTTTTTTTTAAATGCAATTTACATACCTCAATTAATGCAAGATTAAATGTAATGCTGTCATGTGGAACATTCCAGCCAAAGCAGTAACTTCTCCATGGAGACAAGCCAGTGAGCTACCATTACAATAGTTCATTTTTAAGCATAGCTACTCTAGTCAGTCGAGTGTATTGTATTTCTGCAGTTCCCCTTCAAAGGAGACAACACACATAATCATCTGTTTTTATTTAATGAGTCAAGACCTGATTTTCTATTTGTCGACAGTACCGCACACTTCAGTAATACATACTGGGGGAAACACTAGCTCAGTCCCTGATCACATCCTTAAGGCTGTTTATTTAAAACCAATAGATCAAATCAAGTTTAAGGCCTTAAAAGTTAAATACGTTTTAGTTTCCTTGTGAGACCAAATGATTTTGTGTTTAGTGGTTTAGCATTCTATGCACAGTCATGTTTTTATATTTATGTTGTAAAGCAGCACCCTTGGCTCATCTCATTCTTTTCTCCTGCCTTCTGCAAAACATGTAAAAAGTCAGGAGTAAGTGACTAGTTTGCATTTGAACAAGAGAGGAGCAAGTCTGTCACAGAAGGAAGGGTTGAATGAGGAGTTTGATGAATAATTAGTGAGTCTGTGAACAACTCAAACCAAACAAATAAATGAGTCAAGTCCTTCACCCCTTAAAATTAGCGTAATCACTGATACGCGTTTTTGATCCAAAAAGTAACTTGACTACACCAATCAATGTGAAACACACAGGATTTTGAACGCTTGGGTGGCCACAGACCAACAGGTTGATAAAATGGAGAGGGGGTTAACAAGGCGCTCCTCAAATAAGCCGGCTGGGCTCCATGTGCCTGTGAATGTTTGTAAAGGGCTTTAATGGAGCATTCACACATGCAAATCCAGGTGGGATGTTGAATTGACACTGAAGCAGACGTAATCCAACACCTCACAAGTTTGTGTTTCTGTGGAAAGGGCCATGGCTTAGGGAGAGGACTGGCGAGAGTTAATAGAAAACAACTATTCCTCCCTCTTCACTCCTGTGTGTGAGGACTCACAGGATGCAATGCTTTTTACATGGTTGAAGGGGAGGTCCTTGTGTTTCTAGCTCTGTCCAAACGGATAGGGTCCATGAATGCCCTGTAAACATACAACAATAAAGAAAAACATTTAACATGTTTGGCAAAATATTACAAAATTGCAAGTTTGATGAAGGAAAAATATTTGATGGGAAATCACACAGAAATGACACACCTGTCCAAATGTCATCACAGAAAGATTGGTTTGAAGACCATTTGACGTCCTATTTAAAGCATTATGAGACAGTCCATTTTGATCTTCTGTATGTTCCCAGGCTCCTCCAGGGTCCGTGAAACTGCTGTCAGTGGCATCATGCTTATTCTTTTGTGGTGAAGCAAAAGGGTTGAAGTCTCCTTGAACCCTGCGCTGGGGTTGGGTGTTGAATTCAGTCTCAAAGGACGATAGCTGCTGAGTCACACCAAGGAGACCACCAATTTCTACAGTGAGTATTACCCAAATGATATCTGTGAAAACATGCAGGAACAAATACATTTTAAAATAGCAGATTTGAGGTGCACTTTCTGTTGTTAATGCAAAGTTACAAACACCACAAATCAACAATCAATGTTTAAGACAATAATTAACAGACAAAGATAATAATTGTGCAAGCCTTCCAACATTTGAAATACTTTTTCAATATATTGTTTTAAGCTGACTACATTCAAATGTAATAACAATGAAAGAGGTTTGTGACTTACCACCATAAAATAATCCTGTTCCTGTACACATTCTCCACTGGCCTTGGTACATCCCAGGGGCTGTAGGACTCCTCATTTGGACACTTACATCTGTAACTTCTTGGGGGTCTAAAGACTTGACCATAACTGTGTTAACATGCCCAAATTGATCCCCACCAATGTACTTAAGGCTGACTCCAGGAGGCCAAGACTCAGCACCTACAAATAAAAACAAACTTTTAAACATCGCAAGCCCTCATTTCAGTTTAAAGACTATGGGGCTCAGTTACCAATTCATGTGCTAAACTGCGAGTATAAACTGAGATCTGAAATGTTAAATGAGAGCATTCAGTGAGTACAAAATTGTGTGTGCCCCTGCTCCTGTGGGCTACTGAACTGAAATTTTGTGTTGTGCAAATCCACATTTCTTCTTACTGAACACATTTTGAGATACTTTGGACTTAAACGCAGAATGTTAGATCATGGACATACACGCATGCCTGTGGCATCTGAGAGGTGCAGAAACAGGGAAACACATTGGGCCTGATCCAGGATGACTGGACTGGACCCCAAAGTTTTTATTTTAGGATGTGGGACAAACTCATGAAAGCTCAGTCTGATGGACAGCTGCATCCCCTGAACGCTACAGTTCAGGGGAAGACTTGTGTGAGTCAGAGTCAAAGTGACACAGGTAAAGAGTGCTTTTTTGTAGTGCTCTTTTAAAAATGTCAGATTATATGTCTGTCTTTGTGGGTAATTTTAAAGCATTTAAAAACTAACCAGCTTCATTATCATTTTTATCCTCTGCCACAGATTTTACACATGTTGGTAAAAAAATGCTCCGTTTTGCATATTCATTCACTGATAGGAGCAAAATTGCACCACATAAACTGTAAGAAATTGCTTTAGGTTTTTGCTCCACTTTTAGTGTGTTTAGCCATTTAGCACATAAGCAAATCCTTGACAAATGAGACCCTTAATTGCTTAACATGATGCTTGCCTGGGTTTTGTATCCTCCACGTCTTTGTGAAGGGTGTATCTGGTGGAACTGACTCTCCCTCTCCAATTGTCACATCTTCAACAAAGGACATGGATGGAGTAATTATGTTGGGACTTTCAAAGTCATAGTATGCACCAATGGCAGCCTGTAGATTCCTGTCAAAACAGATAATAAAAGGTTAACACATACATTATTTATGATACGGTTTCATGTTAAAACTTCATCATAATCATCATCCTTTTTTAATCAGACAGTAATTACTCCATTAGTAATATCTTAATATCATTTGTTTGTATTCACTATTCGATTTTCAGGCAATGTCTATTTATTATAGCCACCGTTGCCTTGGGGCAGACTGAATACGCTTGCCTTCCCCATTGGTAAAAAAAACCTAAAAAACTACAACAACAAAAACAAGAATAGTTGTTAAAATATCTACATAACCAATGTAAAATGTGAAGCCTGTGAATTGTAAAGAATTCCGCAATGTATTACTACATGGATGGGCTGCGTCAGCAGATGTATGTAAATAATTGTATTTTTCTCAACGAGCACGGTTTGGGGTTTAACTGGTGCTAGAGACTATTATGTAACACTGCACAAATAATCTTTGCTCACTACTAAATGCTTAAATTAGCAGGCTAGTTCCCATGTCAGACCGCGATTCTAGTTGTTAGTTAGCTGTTCCTCTTCCAGGTAAATCCCAAAAAATAGAACAAAGAAACTTTAAGTTTCACTTTGTGAATGTTAAATACCTGTCTGAATTGAAGTCTCTAAGTGCCCCTTGGCGTGCAGAAACGTTCGAAACAAGAAAGGGTTCTAACCTGGCATTTAGCAACACAGCTATCTTGAGATCACCTTATTTAAATCAGACACTTTAAGCATTCTTCTTATGCCTAGCGCCTGTACACTCAGGACCACAGGCCTGTCCCGCACTCACCAGTTGGTCATGTCCAGGAAGAAGGCGCATCCGGCGGGGTTGAGCTGGAAGCCCAGCAGCCTCTGAAACTCCGTGATCAGGACGTCCTTGTCAGTGGTGCCCATGCAGCTGAACTTCTGCATCAGCTCTGCATCCACATCCATGTCCGTGCCGTCCATGAGCGACGTTGCCCCGTAATGGAGACAATCTGACCGGGGACCTTTCAGTTTACTCCGGGGCCTGTTTCAGCCATCACAGCCATAACAACATCCACCTCCACAACAACAAGCGCCAGTGCGCATGGCACAAGCAAGGGGACGCTGTTTGACGTTACAACATCCAATCACTACAGGCAAACGACGTCAGCTGTTGCTATTTGCAGTCGCAGCTTCATTGGTTTATTTTAGTCAACGTTTATCAAGCAATTGGTTACTTAAAAACTACAAGTCTGTTCATTTTGCGACAACGTAATGTCATTATTTGTCATAATTCAAACGTTTGAACATTTCTATTTTAATTAAACTATACGGACAGTAATAGTCTGCAATTTGTCATTTATCTGTCACCCTATTTAAAAATGTGATCTATAAATTCAACAAGACAAACAAAAAAAGATCCATGTACAATCCACGGATCTACCATGGTAAGATCTAGACTAGAGACTGCTTTTTTCTCTCAGAGCGGAACTGAAGTTCAACAGATCCTATAACTTGAGGGACGCTTTTTTTGGAGACACCGGAATCGCTCACACGGACGGCAGTGGAATTCAAACATGCCCAAGTAAGTAATCCGGTTTTCGTATATTATAGTGTTTACTTTCTGGTTAAAGTGCTAGGTTATACACGAACTTTCTTGTGTTTGAATATAACTGCTTCGGACACTCTGTTTTGTGATTTAATTTGGGTGCTTTGTAGTTTACATTGGGTGCTTTGTATAGCCATGCTATGTATGCTGCTACCACAATTACTTATCGTTAGATATTCGAGATGTAGAAACACCGGGGTCTGTACGCAATCATCAAATGCATCAGAAATTTAAATTATTGTATTATGATTAAAGGAAGTGGGGGGTTTCAAGTTAGAATTGGGGGTCCTTTTCCACCCCTGGCACTACCGAGGCTGAACTGGCTAATCCTTTGTCAAAACATTCATGACAAACATACCAGGTGAGCTTCTCATTGGGGCATTGTTAGTTTTAAACGATTTAGCTAAACTATATCTGATTATAACTTGTATTGTAGTGACCTCACTCTCGCTTATAGTCTCCTGATTACTTTTTTTGTTCCGCAGGTTTTACTGTGACTACTGTGACACCTATCTAACGCATGACTCTGTGAGTTTAAGTTACTTGAGTAACTAAGTTTAAGTTACTAAAGTCTAACCACTGGTCTTGCACAATTTCTTATACTGCTTATATTCATACCTGTGTTGTTGCTTATATTCCAGCCCTCAGTAAGGAAAACTCACTGTAGTGGGCGAAAACACAAGGAAAATGTGAAGGACTATTACCAGAAGTGGATGGAGGAGCAAGCACAGAGTCTAATTGATAAAACAAGTAAGAATTTACTGATGATAATAGCTGCATTATAGACCATAAATATTGGTTCCACAAAGATAGCCCCTAGTGGCTATGTGTCATGTCTAATCTTTGAAAGCTTTTTTTTTTTATTTTAATATCACAGTGCTCATCAGCATTTCATTCTGTTTCTAGCGGCTGCATTTCAACAAGGGAAGATTCCTCCCTCACCTTTCCCTGGCGGACCTCCACCGGGTTAGTAATTTGTTTGTAATCTTAAATGATTCCACCTTCCATAAGTATTTAGATAAAAGACACTCTTTGATATGAAGCGACTGAATAATGATCAGAGTGCACAATTTCAGAATGGAAGAAATTTTATGTAGTTTGAACAACTGCCTGACCTCCTTCCCTCCTGAACAAATAAACATTTTGATTGTTGATTTTATTCAACTAGGTGGTCCTCCTCGTCCTGGCATGTTGCCAACTCCGCCAATGGGAGGTCCTCCAATGATGCCTATGATGGGGCCTCCTCCACATGGGATGATGCCTGGTGGACCTGGTAAGAAAATGTATATTTTGTATTGGGTAAATATTTGAATAATTTACTTGGAAAGACAAAAGGATTGGAATTTTTCCTGGAACAATGGTCCAGAATGATCACTTCATTAATCTCAAAGGAAATTCTTGTGCCAGTAAAGCTTTTTAAAAAATGGAAAAAAGAAAAAAAAAACAGTTTCAATTTTGTAACATGTAAAATTCACTGATTTTGAATGGAGGGATAATAAGAGGATTCCACCTTACTCATTCACAGAAAAATGCCAAATACAATTTTGTACATGTTACAGAATTTTAACTTTTTGCCTTACAAACAAGAAGGCAAAAGTGCTATTGGTATTCTCACTTATTCTCACATGCTATTTTTAATACTTGAAATGCCAGTCTGCATCTGTGGTGGCTTTGTTCTGTAAAACCACTTGTGTAACCCCTCTTGTTCCTCTGCAGGCATGAGGCCGCCAATGGGAGGGCCCATGCAGATGATGCCAGGGCCACCACACATGATGCGTCATCCTCGGCCTATGATGATGCCAGTGAGGCCTGGCATGATGCGTCCCGACAGATAAGACTGCAAGTCGTCTGTGTTTCCACCAATAGACTTACTTGAGGACATGTGGTTCTTGCATTTTAGACATTTTTCATTTTTAAAAAACCCAAAAGTTTGTTTCTGCAACTGCTTCTGCATTGTCAATTTATGTAGAAATGTGTTCCTACAAAACAAAACCACACCTTGATGTAGACCAGACTGGAGTCTTTTGTTTTCCACTGTCAGCTTCTTGACTCTTGCATTCAAAATATTTCTTTTTTTTTTTCTTTTTAAAAAATGTGTTGTAATTTGTTACATTGTGGAATAAAACCACAATTTCAAAACCCATCTTTCGTAGATACATCATTATGTAGGAGTTTTTCTTTTGTATGTGCAGTAAGGCTTAAATTGTATTATTGTTCAGCCCAATAATAACATGTAGTTCAGTTGTTCTAACACATTGAGATTTCTTTTGGGCATGACTTATGCTCTGCCAATAATAATTTATTTAGCCTAATAGTACTTATAAAGCTTGTGTCAAAGGTGTATTTTTTATTGTATGGCTGCAGAAAAATAAGTTCATGCGAGTGTGCTGATACTGGAGATACTGTTCATGTAATACTAAAACATATACAATACAAAGGAAAAGCACTGATAACTACCAAGTTTAACTGTAAAAAATACATCTGAAAGTACTTTTTTTTTCAATGTGGACACGTTCTAGTTTAGTTTTACAATTCTCTGTATCCATTCAGAAAATCCATCCATAATTTTTTTTCTTATGTTCAGAATTTATATCTACCTTACCTTGAGGTCAGACATATTTTTGTGGATGCTAAATGTTCTAAAATATGAACTTTGCCACCTGAGATTTTACTAAGTGGCGTTGATGAATTTTCAGAGCCCAAGGTGTGAATGTGACAGACTCCTGACCTTGCAAACTGCTGCTCTTTATTCCTGAGACGGCAACTTCTACACTAAAACAGATGTTGCAGTGGGGATTTGTTTTCTTATAACTTTGACCAATCCTCATTAGTCTATTCAATGAAGCATGATTAATCATTTGCAGCTGTTACATAAAGATCTGTAGCATGGTTCATTATCCCAGTTGGCATTTGTTTCTGCAATGATTAGAAGAATGAACTTTCGCTCATCTTGACCGTATAGCTATAAAGGTGCTCAGTAGATGGTGCTAGAGAGTTGTATGTTTTGCTGTGTAATTAGAAACCCACATGTACATAATGATTTCATGTGCTATGAATTGTCAAAATTCTCCTAAATAACATTTCTGGTTTATCAAATTTCTAGGTCATGAATTAAAAATGTCTAGGCTACACTATGGCGGACATTAAATTTACAAGCTGGAAGGAAAAGACATTTTTCTTCTATTGTAAAATCAGAGGTTCGTGGCCAAACAATTTGACAGCTTCCATTAAATGCTCTGTAAATATCTACTCTCCACATGAGTGAGACCAGAATAAAACCATGTTAATGCACATTTTATGCATATGTTGAGCATAGTCGGAGGCCCATGTGCCATCTGAAATCTGAACAGTCTTTATGAATATTCAATCTCACCATGAAGTGGAGCATTGCCCTGAAGGGAGTGTAGTGGAGTGGGAAAGTGTTTATGATTAGGGCTTAGGAGTTGGGGATCATGGGAAGTATTACAATGAAGCTTACACAGAGGACCAGTGCTCTAGTACATTTAAATCGTTAACAGAACATACAATTAAATTCCTTATGATTCAAGGTTTGATAAATACTGACAGAAGTGACCTCAATAGTTAGTCTCCCATTGGTACTTAATGTGACTCACCTTCTACTATTCTATTTTTCTTAGATGACGAAAACTGTCTTTAATATTAATGTTTTAGTCAGAAGATTCTGTGTAGGCTGACGCTCTACAGCTTACTTAGAAAAAAAATAAATAGATGAGCCAGTGTCCTGCCTGATAATTTCTCCTACACAAAGTATTAGGGAGATTAAGTTGGAGGCCTGAGTAGTCATTTTAAACTGGCTAATAAATACAATGTTATCCTCATGTGGGATGGCCGGACTGACAGCTTACACTCAAAGCTTCCCTGAAGTGATTTGTGGTCTTTTTTAACCGTTACCACTGGGAATTATTTACAAGGAGTTTAGGAGGTCACTCATTTGGAACCTTCTCACTGTGAATTTTCTTTGTAGATATACTCTTCAAGTTCACAAGATACAGCTAAAGATATTGGAGAAAACTTAATGATCAATGAATTAAGTGTAACATTAAAAGAAGGTTTTATATTGTTGTCAAATAGTTTCCCTAAATAGAAATGGGGATATGTTGGGTACGTTGTGTATAAGTTGCATCTATTTTTGGTGTTGTTCGGTAAAGACAATTTTACATACATTCATGATGGTGCAATTTCTTCCCCATCCTGCATTTGGCGTTTCCCCAGCCTGGGCTGAATGAGGAACACAATAATCCCTGACTGACAATTTGCTGTAGTCAATTGGCTCACAAGTGAATGGAGACCAGGATGGTGCTTAGAAATATGGTATGAAGAGGATGATTGCATGGGGGCCGCTGGGTGGGATATTGACTAAAAGAAACACAAATGCTAAAGAGCTCTGTGAAGCAAAGATTTATGTGGACTCTTTGGAAATCTGTGTCTCCCCTTTTCCTCTCTTTTGTCTACCCCAAAGTCTCTTCTGTCCTCTCCGTCTTTTTCCTCCTGCTACCAACACTACTCTGTAATTTAATCCATTTAGTCATGGCTCCAGATCAATATCCATTTTCTTTGGCCTAAGGGAGAGCCTCTCGCTTCTTGCTTGTTTCAAACTGTGGTAGCGTTGGCCAGCAGGAGCTCCCATGGGCCCGTTGGCACAAACAGATGTAGTACACTGCAGTATCTGAGAAAACAAAGTAATGTTAGATCTAATTCCACTCCAACCTGCTGCACAAAGTTAGGCTAAGGTGGCTGTCTCAACACACATCTTTGAGTTTCTTCTGGGTAGAAAAGAAAATAAGACATAACATGGGGACACAACATTCTCTTTCCATTCACAAATACGTGCTACCTTCAGGTCATTTAGGTCAGATGCTCGCTAGGCATAAGATGTAGGTGAAGTTATGGTTCTTGAGATTCATTTTATTCTAACAGTTAATTTACAGTTGCAGAATTAACTGTTATGCTTTTGTAACTGTATTCAAATTGCCAATCCAGACTGTTGATAACTTGTATCAGCTGAAGGGATAAACACTACCTTAATCATTAAATGTCCCACTTGAAGATAAAATGTATTTGGAGAGCAGTGATACAATATGTCCTGCCATGGGGCAGCTGTGCTCCCAACAGAGATTCACTGACCATCCTTCACCTACTCCACTGCCTCATGCATTGCCATGTTTTATATAAAAAAAACTAAAAAAAACATTTTAAATATAAATTTCTTAGCTTTTGCATTGAAAATATTTTGTACTTTGGTTGTGGGCCCTGCAAGTAAAAAAATATACACGCATTCTCTGCCACATTTAATGTTTAAAATTTTTTTAAAAAGCAACACATTTTTTGCTGAACAGATTTTTAAAATTATTATTAATATATGATTCAAGGCAACCATGCTGTAAAAGTTTTTATAATACAATACAAAAGTAATATTTTAGTAAATTATAATAAAAATTTGTGGCAAATCAAGGACTCCAACTGCTGTGTAACAAAAACAAATTGGATTAGTATATTTATTATTTGCCTGTATATTTAATAGACACATATATGAAAATGTATGTGCTTTGCACTGTGTAGCAAGCTCTGGGCTTCTGATAATTTTTGGAGGAAGTTTGTCAGACAGATTTTTGATTTACACCAGCTGCTTGTTTTGTTTTGTTATTTCCTTTTGATACAACAACAATATCTTTATTCTAAACCAGACCCCAGAGTTAATTCTGTTCACCCCCAAAATGAGGGATTTTGATTGCTCGATTACAATTTTTGAATTCAAATCATGATTGAAAATGACGTCCTACAGTCCACATCCTACAATCCTTAAGTGGATGTATTTGGTTGATGTGGAAGTTGCTTCAAATGTCTCACTGAACTTTATGATCAATCAAATCATGATGAATTTACTGTTACAGTTTACTCCATGTTGTAGTAGCATGACCATTTAAAATATTTGGAGAAAGGCAGAACAACACAAATGCTTAGTCAGACTTGCATTGCAGCAGTTTTATTCATGATATCCAAGATTGATTAAACTGCTTTCCAGCCTCAGCCTCAGGTATCCAACATTGTTCCATCTCAGTCAGCATTTTATGCTACCAGCTTTCTATCAGTACACATGCTTCTATTGTCTGTCAACATTTAGCCAGAACAGTGTTTTAGGACGATCAAGTCCTGCCACCTTTCATAGTAACTTGGTGATGGATTTTCAGGTTTTGTGTGCTCTTGATTACATAATCTTTGGTCTGAGCGATTTGTGTCAATGCCACACAGGTAGTGAAGTGTTCAGAGGATAATGTTAGGCCATCTGATAATATTTAATTGCATGTTAGTTTTCTATAAAATATTAAAATCTTTATATTCATACTAAGGACACTAAATGGCATCAAAGCAAAACTGTCCAGTTTTTCATTAGATTTTTGTAGAGTGCTGTCTGTCTTTTACTTCAGCAACAAGCATTAATGCCTCTAAAATGGGTCTCTCAGAGTTGAGGGCAAAGTCTATTTTTATAGAAACTAAAGTATTCTGGTTTCCAAACTCTTTGATGTTCCAAAGGTAGAAAGGCTAAAAGCTTTTGGCACTTTCTGTGTATCTAAAGATAAGGACTGATTGAGGCATAGCAACAAACTTGTGTTCTGAATTTATTTTTAAATATATTTTTATTCAACAGCGTGATTTATGCAAACTGTTCCATGTTCAAAGTCATTTTGTGATAAGTGTTTCTGTTATCCCTCCATGAAGATGAATGAACAGTTCATTGCATATAGTTAAAGTGCTTGGAAAGACACTTACTGGCTTACAGAATTCTGTTGGTGAGAATGACTCAAACATGTTTGATTGATTCATTGCTGCTTCTATGATGGCTATCATTGAGGCATACATCTCTAGTACTTTCTTGGATGTAGAGCTTGTCAAGGGCAGTTGTTATGGTGCTCTTATACTGAAAGCGACCTAGCTGTGAACCATCACTATTATCTGTAGATTAATTACCCTGCTTTCTCATCTTTTTTCCCTCTGAATTCAAATGTGTTCCTACTTTTTCTCTCCTGGTCTAGGTGGCTGATAACATGATATGACTTGTGCGTTAATAGTTTAAAAATGTTCCATAAAGGTGCACCATATACATTATCTGGTGCTTTCACCTGGAGACATGGATGCTATTGCTTTACCTGGAATGTTGGGCTTGCTTCTCTGTAGATCTGACCTATAATTTGATCTGTAGCTATTATCTGCTTGTCTTCATCAAGATACTTTAATGCAATGCTGTTGAAAATTCAAGTCAATAACAACTTGTGTAGTGCACCTTTGAATTCCATTAAAGACTGTTATCATCCACAGGCTCTTCATGGGACAACTGAGGTTTGGACAGGCCCACATGCTGTGAAGTGTACACTAAAACACCTGTCTTCTGAATTTCATTTTTACTGTATAATGACAATAAAGACTTTCTATTCTTTTCTATTCTAACAATAATTATCCTCCTCATGCCACTTTTGACAGAGCCACTTGTGGATGTCTCAAAGTGATTGTTTTGAATATCCTCTGTGCCTGTTATCTAAAATCACAATTTGGCCCTTGTCAAACTCAGAATAAGCTATAACAGTAGTGCTTATGTTATACCTGAACTATGCATGTATAATACCATTCTTTCAAACAAACAAGAACTAAAGACCAGCATTTCACAGTACACCCTGATTCAGATCTTGGTGTCATGGTAAATTTATCTGTCTTATCTTTCTCCTTATGCGGCCTCCAGCGCTTGTGGCACATGATTCTGTGCAATAAGATAAAAAAGAGGCTTCCCTTATCACACTGGACCAAATATGTGTCCTTTTACAAACATGTGGTACTAACACTGATAAGATTTTCTGAAGGTGAGTAGCAATGCTGGAGTTTTGCCTCCAGGTGAACTGTATAATGAGTGCTTTTAATGGAAACAGGAAAGATAAAACTGGAAAAATAAATATATCTATTTATACAATGCAGTTGCATTGTCTTCTCTCAAGTACAAAAAGTGAAGTTTCTTTTTTACTTTTCTCGTCATCACAGCAAGCCATCTCCCTATACAGCATGTTGTTACTGGTTTATTGATTTTGCCCCTTGTGATTCCAACCTTTCCATTTATCCATACTATTAGATCACACATTATGTAGCTGTAAGGACAATACACATTGCTGTATAGGGTTTGATAGAATGGCACTAGCAAACTCTGCATCACTTGGCATATTTCACTACAGGCAAGATCCTTTCACAACCGGGTGTTTTTTCTTTCTTCCACTAAGACAGGACCTGACTTGATTCCATGTCCAAGACATGGAGAATGTTGTGTTTGTGTAAGCTCCATTGTCTCCTTTTCTGTCCAATGTGACGGATATCCAGCCACACGCCTTCACTCAGCTGTGCACTCTTGGCCTTCCCGTCCTCACATCCACTGCAAAGGCACTATGGACGGAAAGGTAGTTCAGCAAACTCTTTGATTTACTGTGAGGGAGAACGGGGTAGTTTTTAAAATGTTAAACTGTCAAGGAGGAAATACTTTAATACTTACCAGATCCAGAGATAGCATACATCAATTTCACTGTCTAAATACACCATAAATGCACTGGACAGTTCTGAGTATGAGTTATTACTAAAAAAAAAAAATCTTATTTGATAACTTATTTCTTAACCCATCTATTTCATTTATAAATTGTTCTTGCACCCAGTGCTGGAAAAAAATCCACACAATATAAAAGAAATTCCCATTTTGGGTATGTTGCTCCCACTTTCTAAATGCACAAAGAGAATAGAAAATTACCCTTCCTTTGTATTCAATTATATGCAGTGAAATACAACAACTGATGTCCTTGCTGAGTCATAAATAATATTAATGGCTTTGAAATCACAATTTTGCTCTTCTAAAGTGCCACAAAACCATTCAGTTGTACTGTCTGAGATAGGTGTCTGGATTATGACAGTCATATTGCTTGCATTCTTTAAGGTGACTTTGGGATAATGTCTTCTTTGGATTTTAGTGGTGGGAACAAGGATATGGCAGAACATGACACGAAGGATAAATTGTGCATAATTTGTGAGGGGAGGGCGGGTTGTTTTATTGCCTTTCTCAGATTGTTTTGAAAGCGAGCCACTGTTCTGAAGGTAATACTTTCCCAGCTTGATTAACTCTATTATGTCTTTACCCAGTGGTCTCATTGTCAGTGTCTATAATAGCAGATGATCAGGTGGGAGCTGTGGGGACTATATTGTAGAAAATGATTTATTTGGCCTGCATGCTTGGGTGTAGTTTTACAACGTCTACAGTATAGTTAAAGCAGCTCTCATGGACAACTGGGCCCATTTCACCAGTAATGCAATCATATCAAAGGTCATATAAGATCAAAATAAATGAAAATAACTAAATTATAGTATACTATATAGAGTCTATCACAATAAGAAAACAATAAGAAAACCCTTAAAAGCTGTTAAAAGGGCAGATAAAAAGAAAACAAACTTGCCATGGAGCTTTATAAAACTGGTTAACTTTTCAGTCCATTGTTCATAAAAATTGCAACAAAATGTATACGTGCATTTTAGCATATTTCAGATGTATTGAGGAAAGTTATTTTTGATTTGATAATACCTTATAATAGCTACGCCCCTAATTAGCCTTCATAAAATATGAACAAAGACTTAATTCATAATGATTAAATACTTTATTAAGATGTGTGTAAAAGAGAAATTCAATTTGTCAACTGGACTAAAGTTTATTTAGGTCAAATATGTTTCACAGCTCATCTTCAGTTCTGGTCAGAATGCTGGTGGACACTGCCTTATATCTGCCTGTAGGGAGGAGCTAACTGCAATGAAACTAACACACACTTGTTTACAGTTTCTGTTTGTTAGCTAGGTCTATTGAACTGCAGTGTGAGGTCATATTAACATAATCATTCAGGACCCTGATGGGTGCTTTCACACCTCTGGACTTGACCTGGCTATCCCTATTGTTTTCTTTGTTTTGATTTAGATTTGAGGATGGAGTTGTAAAGGGAGACAGATGATGTCTGAGGCATTCATTTCTATTCAAGGATGGATTGTCTCTCCTAACAAACATTTTTAACTCCCCTCTTAAACTAATTATTTTCTCTGGCTGGCCAAGATCTGTACCTCACTATCCTTTATTAAGAATTATTCAAGTTTCATTAATACCCCAACCCTAACTCCTAAACCTTAACTCCTTAATGAAGTCTCAACTTTTCTCAATAAACAATTTTGTCCAATATGAATTAAGTCTTCATTCATGCAGGCCAATTAACATTTAGTTATTGTACTAAGTGGTACTATTACTATTATGGTACTAGTACTATTATCTGATATGACATTAGGTCAGGATAATCTAAAAAAATTTTTTTGAAATATTTAATGTTTTTCATTATCACCCACTGCTCAAGCAACATGATAAAACATCCATGTTGCCAAGAATATATTTTGCACACAACTCTGGTGTTGCTGTACATGGCATAGCTCAGTCTTGTAGTGTGCATTTCTTTGTTACAGAAGAGCGTTCATGAGTCACCACTGTCTTTAGCCTAGGGCTCAGCAGCCAGCCAGCTGAGTGGAGGGGGGCCGTTTTATTTTTGTCCTTCTAATATGCCGTGAAGACATCATTATTTCTCAAAGAAGTTGTGTTCCTGAGTGTTATTTGTTTAAAACGCTGGATAAGTTGTTTGAGGCTCATCACCATGGAGATATTTGGTGGTGTGTTTCATTAGACATGGCTCTAGTTGCCAGCTGAGCAGTGTAGTGAGTGTGTGGTGAGGGGAGGGATGTTCTCTTTTGTGTAATGCACAAACCAGTGGTGCCCACAGGGGAGAGGTGAGCCTGCACCGAACTTGGTTGATTGAGGGCATGGGACAGTGGTGCTGTGTGCACTGTGGTGACTGTGAACACATACATATTAGGATGCTTTAAGATGCCTTTTTGTCAGTCTGCACACCTTCTGAGAGCAGTGGTGAAAAGCAGAAACATGAGTCGTCTTCTATCGCCCAAACTAATCTCTGCTCTTCCCTGGTGGTTTCCCTATAGACTCTCACGTCAGTGGAGAATATAATAATGATACTGTGGGAATAATAAGATTATGGTATGTTCCTTCATATGCAAAAGAGAAACAAGATAATATAGCGTTACAATTCTTCTCAACACAATATACTCTCTCTTGCAGATATGCTGTCTAGCTGGAAAATGTGCATGTGGGAATATAATGCACATTTGAATTGCAATCTTGGGAGCTTCTTAAATATGGGATTTATTTAAACTTTGATATTCATGTGTTCTTTTTTTTGTAGTAAAGAAAGGTCCTGTGTATAAAGGGGAAATCATCATAGCACTGATCATATATAATATAGAGCAGTGACCCAGTGTGTTGGTAACCTGATTACCCCAGTTGTCAGTTTGAATGAGGCCAGGCTTTGGGATCCACCATTCTCTGATCCTCACACAGGACAGAGGCAGTCCTCTTGGACACAACCCTTTAGTGGGACATACTCCAGTACTAGGACAAGCACTTGGACTCTATGCAAAGTCAACAGGTAAGTAGACATGACAAATTTAGGAGGATTCTTTTTTGAGCAAGGTTAATATCAAAGCGGATTCGTAGATTTTTTTTTCTTCAGAAATAATTGTTTGGCTGGAAGTTAGAGGAGGAAGAAAAAGGCCAACAGTGAATGTTAGGGGGCAGAAAAAGGGGAGGGCAACAGGATACAACTAGTGGGTGGACCCTTTGATTGTTTCAGTTTGCAAACTTACACACTTCCATGGCTTTTCATTGTACACAGGATTATTTGGAGTCGCTTCTTATTTCGTCGATATATACATTACCAAAGGCGAAGAACACTTAAGTTACCACCAGTCTGAAACTAACTTCAGGAGTGGACATCAAATCAAGGAAGTTACACCAGCAGCTTCAGCATGGCTCAGTGTCCATCAGAGGCCAGGGCGGACAGTTTGATTCCAGATCTTAAGGACAACATGAACTCAAGTGAACTTACTACAGAGACTCCATCAGTGAGAGCCCGACCGCTAGACCTGGCGTTGATCCGCAGTCTGTCTAAGTCGGATTCGGACTTATTGTCGTCCCCGGTGGGTGAGGATGATGAAGGTTTGGCTGGACGCAGTGGTTCTGTGTCAAACTGCAGTTCTGGGCAAACAGCCATGAAGCGCATGCCTTCTTTTGCCTCGGAGTGGGATGAGGTAATATTTAACACTGGATAGGGGGTAAGGGAGGGGCACCAACACACTATTACTGTATGAGAGTGACGGTCAATAAGCCTTTTTTATATATAAAAAAAAGAAACAAATTCGATTTAGAAGAGAAAGAAGGAGGAAGGTAGAAAGGCTGCAGTCGCGCTAAGTCCTAAGCAGAGATGGAGTGTAGTACTTCACCCAGGCTGTTGGCGGAGAATGCCTGCGGCGAGTGCTTGAATGCATGAATGGCTTGATCACTTGCACCGACCTCCCTGTAGCAGCCCTGGCATCCAAGACTAATTGGGCTTGTGCTGTCATTCCATATCCACTCAGTCCATGTCTCAGGGGCCGACCCACGCTTCCTCCTGCAGTCCTCTGGCTCCTTAGCTGCGTCTTGCGCATCTTCTTTTATATGAACAGTCCCTAACCCCATTATCCCCAAAAGCCTGAACTTGTGATTTTTGTACTTCAGGGTGTGTGCAGCATACCCTGAAGAATATAAAATGTTGAAACCAAAATTTAGCAAAACATTAAAAGTTCCTGAAATAGCCACTGCCCATGGCAATGGCTGATGACTGACAATATAATTTTGTGCACTGCTCTGAGGCAGAATTATCAATTTCTCTCAATGATCTCAGCAAAGTGGCAGATTTATGACACTTCCAGTTTGGGTTATACCACTATGATCACATTACAATGTCTTACTCAGACACTATACATACTTCCACTGTGTGATAACTAGCAGTTTGGTGTTAGCTCATGCGTAACATTTGACAAAAGTCCTAGGCCACATTTGAACTTCACACTTCATTTTACATATTTTGCCCTGAGCTAAAGTCTTTAATACAAGACATTTATCTTCAGTTCAGTCCAAGGGTATTTGACTCAGCCTATTGTCAGCCTTTTACAGCTATTACAGCTGAAATAACTGACCTGTTCTCTCTAATTTATCTATCAAATTTATCTATTTATCTAGCCTGTTGTAATAATGTTGTTTATGAGAATTTAATGACATGCTGATAAATTTATTGAAGATAAGCTTTCACCTAGATGTTCTGATTCTCGTTATTGGTGCTTGTAGACTCTGATATCCCCTACACCATGACTCTTATGGTTCTTATTGTATCAGCCCCCCACAGTTGTCTTTTTCCTGCCCTCCGCACCACCCCTGTGCCCTCTGACACCACTGTTTATTCAGGCCCCGATGGGTGGGGCATCCTGCTCCCGGGCATCCTGTTTGCTGTTCTACAAAGTGTCCATGCTACAATATGAGCAGTTTGTTTGGGTTGAGCCCATAAGATCTGCCTAATGTGCATTTATATATTTATGTGTAGTTATTTGGCCATGGGCAAAAGTTTACTTTAGGCTGTGTTTAGATCTCATGAATCTCTCATCCTTTAGCAAGCATTGGAATGACACACAAAGCGAAAGGAGTTGACATTAGTATTTAAGCATGCATAAGCACAATAGCCTTCTGCTTTATTGCTTACATGTTATTAGACATCTGTCTCCTAAGTCAGTGGACAATATACAGTCACTTTTAGATTACCCTTAGTTTTTACTGCTTCCTGTATTGTATCCTAAAACTTGTTTGATGTATACAACTGCATTATCACCAAAATTAAGTAAAGCTATATTAGATAATATGTACTATTATTAATGACATATATGATTTAGGAGTCCTGTCCTTTCTCCATATCTGTTTAATACTCAGAAGGCAAAGGTTAAGGAAACCACATGTTACAGATGCTTGAGTGGCCTCATTCGTCTGTGTACTCTAAATTTCCCAGCAGTATTCCTGAGGTCATTATACATTCAGGCTTTTAAAGTGCACACTCAGAGCGAGTTTGTGTGCGTCTTCACTCACTAATGCACGTGGTTTACATAACATCACTGGCTGGGGACATGTAATAAAACACCACTATAGGGAAATGACCTAATATTCATTTAAAAATCAAAAACATTTATTTAAATATAAGTTTCATTGTGTCTCTTTTAATTCTAATTTAAGTGCACTTGTGTTATTTTTTATATAAAGGAATAGAAATTGGTGGCAGCAATGTTGATAATTCTAGTTGACAAAAGTGTCTATTTTTAACCTACGTAGAAGCTTGTGTATAATTTATATAGAGAAGTACAGCAGAGTGAACACATCTCCAGATCAGTTTAGACAGATGTGGCACATGAATATGAGAGTGGTGGTGCTGATGGTGTGTGCTAACTGTGGAGGGGGGAGGGCAGCTGTGGGGGGCTTTACCTGCCACATTGTCCGGAAAATCTGTCACACCAGAGACAAACCGGCAGCAATGAATGTGCAAATGCTTACACAGCCCCTGAGTAAAAATATATGAATTGCAAACATGTATAGCAATCCTGTCATACCTCTGTGCTCTTTGAACTTGTCTACTAAAATGTTTAAAATGTATATGATTATTTATAGAATAATGGTTATTGCCTAGTTGTCAGTGAGCTGTTTGAATAAGAAGCTCTGTGTCCCATCTGCCAGTATTGACAGTGGTACTCAAACTATAATCTTGTTTAGACCAATGCCAATATGACAACAAAGGTCTGGCTAGCACATACTGTCAATATGGCCATTATTTCTATTTTGTACAAGCTCTTAAGCTGAGAGATTCAAGTGGACTTGTGCACATTTTGTATTCAGAAGGTGACTAGGCCAGATTTGAGGGTTTGTGGTGTTAGTACATAACAGTATTGCTGTGAGGACAAGTCCTTTCATTTGAAGTGACAGTCAAATTGTATTGTGTTAAAGAATGAGTTCAGTGAAGGCTGAATAATTTTTAATGAAGTCAAAACCAATTGACCAAAAATATAATACAAAGGTGATATGATAAGAAAAAACACAATGTTCTGATTAGTGTATTGATAACTACAACTAGTATGTAACATACTGGAGCAGATGTGCAAGTGACCGGTTATTATTCATTTATATTATCTATGAGTACTTTATAGGTTCAGAGGTACATACTGGTTAGCCCAAAGGATTTGTCCAAATGCCATGCGCATTCCATGCCCATTAACAACTCAAATAACAGCTAAAACAAAACAACTTCAATAAAAGCTTTTAAAATTTCAAGTTCAGGACAAAGTGGTTGCTCCATACAGTCAAAGCATTTATTTGGAAAAAAAAAGATTAGACTAAAGATTGAATGATAGTGCTTATTCTGTTGGATGAGAACCATAAAGAAGCCAGGGACAAACACTAATCTAATCAGAGACGTTGTTGGACGATAGTCAAATGGAAACTTCACTTAGTTCAAAATAAAATTGAGCACACAGCCATTAATTTTCTGCTATTAGTATTATATAAACAGTTATTAAAAGGTATTACAAATATGCATTGTTATACTTGATTCTATTTAATGTTAATTCCCTTACATAACGCACGTTTTATAAATTAAAAAGTTAGTTCAGCAGGAAGCATTTTCTGTGTATTTCTGTCCACATGCTAAATATTTATATGTAGCAGATGAGGCTTTGACGTTGTAAGAGGTTTTGAGCACTTTACCTATGATGAGGCTCTTGGCTTAAGAGCATAAATTGGTGACAGGAGAGTCTACGTATAGGTGCACTCAGTGGGGCCAGCTGCAATGGACTCCACTTCGGTGTGTATCATATGGAATGTAACTGGGTTAATTCAAGGAGTAATGCGAGGTCTGTACCGCTGGAGGCATATGCCACGGTTCCCACGTGAAAGACTTCCAAATGAATCAAGGCCTTTTGCTTAGTGTTGATGCCACTAGCGATGTGCATAGGGCTTTTTCTAACACACTAAATATTACATCAAATAAGGCCATGTCTCTAGTGTCACCATATAACAACACAATCAGCTTTTTAGGCTCCCCAAATCCTCACTACTGATTGTGAACAAAGTAGTGGATATATTTAGGCTATTGAATTTGTATGTAAAAGTTTTGTTAATAGCCACCTAGCCTTTTAATGCTTTATGGTGTACGTAAGAAAATGGGCAAGTCAGCAGATCAGCAGAAAGTGCGTCAGTGTGTAGGCAATTCCACTTAAGCTGTGATAAAGTATATATCTAATAGTGTTGAGATGACGACGTTGGACAGTTAGCAAAGTGTGTCCCAGCCAAGAAAATAGTGCGCAGCAGTGGGATCCTTATTTTCAAATTTGACTTTGTAATGAGCAAATAGACAGCAGAGATTGAACAGCAACTTGTCCTGCCTGAGTTCTTTTTAATTAACATCAATGAGCTGAGGCAACCCTTTTTACTTCCTGTACTAAAATAATGCAACCACAAAAATACAGAGGTTAGGTGAGTTTGAGAAGATCATAAAAAAATATTGTTATTTAGTTGACTTTGCCAACCCCAGCCAGTTCCAGTGGACATGAATACATATCACCACTCATCCAAGAATCTTCTGTAGTTCTGATAGGTTTCTGCAAGTCAATGCCTTATATATCTGCCGGAGGAGCTAATTACCCTGAAACTGACATACCCTAGGTGTAAGGAGTATCTATTATTAGTAGTCCATTGTTATTTAGTTGAGTTAGTAGAAAAAGAAAAATATATTTAAACATTTATTTTCAATAGTGATAATATAGCCTACAGTTCACAAAAAGCCTCAAATTAATTTCCCTCGTCCATTTTTCTATACCTTCCCATGTCTAATCAGATAAAAGAAGAAAATAGGAAATAAGAGAGGGTCGTGCCACACACTCTGGGAAGCAACACATGGGTGGTATCTGAAGGTTGTTGTGTCTTAAGCACTTTCTCTTTCCTTCTTTAATGTGAAGTTTCAGAAGTGGTGGAGAGTGTAATTTGCTCTGCTGTGTTTTTGCTGAGCGGGGCCTTACTCATTGAATTGCACTCCACGTTGGACTGTTGCTTGTAATCCATCATTGCTAAGCAGCACGCCTCCTCACAACTCAAGAAGAGCACAGTCTAGAAGTCCAGTACTAAGTTTAGTTTGTTAATGCATTGATGAAGCTAATAGAGGCTGGATGACAATAAAAGTTGAATCTTGATCTAATCCCTGTGACAGTATGCTGTGTTGGTGATATTTTCATATGCAAATCAATGCTTTTTTTGTTTAAAACAGCTCAATACTTAAACACATGCACTTTCCCACCTAACCCTAACCCACCCACTTCACCTATTGGCCAGCCTCTGTCAAACACTTAGGGAGTGACAGGTAGAGGTAACCAATCACAGTAAAGAGTGATCTGTCTTAAGGCATAACTAGTTACCTAATAGGTAAAGTATACAAATTATTTGGTATACATGGATTGTGATTTTGACTTTAAAATGTTTATACGTATACATATTTTAACCACATTAAAATATACCATAAGACTTTTTACAACTGTAACTACTGAAGTATATTTGAAATCCTAGAATAATTGGAAAAATTATGTTTATTAAGTTAACATTCCTAATGTGAGACCAAGCCCAGGCACTATATTATTATAGTTTCTGCACAGTCTAAATAACATTCCCTTTTGACAGATTGAGAGGATCATGAATTTGATTGGAGCTGGCATAGAGTCCAAAAAGACTACCCCAACTTCAGGTAATTACACACCTTATATTGTTTTTTATATTGTGAGTTTTTGCATGCCACTTTTCTTCTTTTCTGGTACTCAGACACTGCACATAGAGAAACTGAACGTGTCTTTTCTGTTCTTAGTTATTGTGTATCAGTCTGACACTTGTTTGGCACATTGTTGTTTTTTGTAATGCACAAGATTTCCTCTTTTGTGTAAAATCTAATTCTGAAATCTCCTCACCGTCATATTGTCTTTTAGTGGAGTTACTACTATATATCTCTCCAGTGTCTGAGCTGATATTATGCTTCATCAAGTGTCCTTCAGGCTGTGCGGAGTGGGGAGCCAGCTGGCATCTGCACGGTTTGTTTAAACAACAGTCTTAAGCTGATCTAGTACAATCCTCTCGTCTTAAAATGCCTCCACAATATGGGCTCTTTTCACATTTTTTCTATGTAAAATCCTATTAGTTATGGCCAGTATTACTTTATGTATTCAAACCGCAGTACAAGTGTGATATAATAAAGACAGAAATTGTAGTTTGTTGTTTTGACCTTCTGCGCTTTTACACCATCAAAGTTTTACCATCATAGTTAGTTCTGCTTTTCAGTGGTGCGTAAATATTTTTTATTTTGTTTAGTTTAGTCCAGATCTGCTGACAACAGAATTCATATGACAGTTCTTTTATGAACATTGACTACTATTTTAAGATATGCTTTTTTAGCCATTGTGTGGAAACTTTAGTCCAACTGCTCAGATGTCTATTGCTTCATTAATGTATATTCTATTGGTATTCCTATGAAACGTAAATAATTTTATATATTTATGACACATGAGAGGACATAATGAAGCATGAATAATTGTGATGGAAATTCCGAACTGAGAGGCATTTTTTTTAACAGGTTTTAAGTAGTTATTTGATTTGACAGAAATAATCCAACTTCTTGAACCACAACCAAAAAAGAAATGCCCATCATAAGTGGCACAACTGGTGACAGAAGGATTTCCACGACAGCACTGAATACCTGAGCAGTTTGTGTACAGGATGTTATGATGTTCAAAGAGTGTGCCTTCCATTTTCACAAATTAATTCAGCTTTGTGGCTCATTTTCTCCAGTGCTTTGGCTGTGCTGACAAGGAGCTGCTGCATTTCTCACACTCCGATAAAAAGGTTTTCCTGAGCACAACTTCCTACATTTCTCCATGAACAAGTCTTTCTGGAATGTGACTTTACCCTCTAGCCATGTCTGAACCAAAGAATGTTTTAAGTGACATACCTTATTTACTTTCCACGCACGGGAGAGAGCATAGCCTGTTTAACATGGGATAACATGGGATGAGACAGTGACCCAGTTCCCCAACGGATAGTCCGTCACTCTGTAATTAGGTGCTGCTATCGTGGGAGGTGTTGCTGTCCCAATTGAATGAGACTAATTGGAAGAGGTGGCTCATATTTTTTACTTCAACTTTGTGTGGATATTTAGTGGAAAAGATTATATGAGAAAGCACATGGGGAGTGGTAATTATTATCACTTTTATGTATTTATTTTTTAATATTTTATTTATTTTTTTATTTGTTCTTTTTTTGTATTCTTTTGTCTTATTTGCTCATCAGTCACAGCCATCTGATCTAACCTGGTATACCTGGATAAAAGCTGGGCCCAGACTACCTACCATATACATGTAAAGTATTGGAGAAACATGCGTTCTTGGCTGGCCACGCAAGCATGGTGTCAAATAATTCCAGTAATTGATTATAAGTTATGTTTTTTTGTGTGCAACTAGAAAGTAAAAAAATAGTGTAAAAATGCCATTAATTACTAAATACACACATACATACATACACATTACATACACATTAACGTGGACTAAACTGGGTCCAGAGCAGGACTATACCATGACTAGAACAGAACAAAACCCAGTCTACATCAATCCTAAACAGGGCTCAAACCAGGACCACACCAGGGCAAGTGTAAACACACTCTAGTGACACAGCAGAGCTTCCACTCCTTGGCTCTGTTATGCAAGATGTCACTCCATCAGCTGTCCTGATAAATGAATACCCAGACCGCATGGACAGGACATAGACGGTTGTGTCCTCTAGAAGAAAATTCATACATTGTGTTAATCAAATGATGGAAGGAAGGAAAATGCTCCATATGTAAACAAACCTCCAGACTATTGTACAACCTGACCTTCCACTTACAGAGTACAAGTTTGTGACACTTAACAAAGAGGTTGCATTCAGCTGCTCTAGTGGTCTAACTGACTGGCACCTGTCTTAAGTAATCAAGTGCTGTGTAGCTGTACCTTTTCTTGTTCCAGTTGTCCTCAGAAGTTGGATTTTCAGATTTCTGAGATACAAATTTTAACAGGAAAATCCTACCGGCAAACTTGGGTAGCATTTCACCATCCCAAAATTCAACATGACTGCACCCTGCATTTGGATTAAGTGAAACCATGACTATTAAAATGCTTGTATTACTAGCCCCACCATTACTTGCCCAGGGGTTGAACCTCTATAGTAAAAAGCATTATGATTATGCCCCATGTACTAACTTGTATGCAAGACAATGTATCAGCACTGTCTAGGTTAACAAATTAAGTGAATTGAGTCAACACTTTGTCTATTTTTACTATGTCTACAGTGGTATGACTTATATATGCCATCTTATTGTTAGCTGAGTTTAAAACTGGAACAAGTAACTCAGACAACTGGAACACACCATCTGTCCTCATGTGTGAAATTGAAGGAAAAGGAATCGTTAGGTGACAAAAGCCACAAAAAAGGTACTTGCATTACTCCAAATTTGATTCATCTCACTAAAATAATGACATCTGCAATGTACCTTTAACTTCTTGTTTCGAGTTCAACCTAAGCTCTGTGAAATATGTATGCATTGTCAATGTTTATCTGCGTTTCACTTCTTCCTTTTTCTCTTTTTACTTATTTATTGGTGTTTCTGTATGCTGGAAAAGCTGAGGTTCCACAGGGACTTTTTTACTGCCATCGGATCATTGTTGACAAGACAAATAGATCAAAAGCCAAAGATGGTAGCATGTTTTGTCATTACTCAATCCTTCTTAATAGTCTTTTTGGCAGCTTTTGGGCCTTTTGAAAATTTTTTTAATCATTCTGCCTGAAAACCCCATCACGTTAAACAGTGAAGGGAACAAGTTTGAATTTTAGATGATGTCACATGCTTCTATCCTACAAGTTGCCTCAGATGTGTTCTAAAAATGGTTGATGTGACATGAGCATCTGTACATAATGGATTTGGTCTTTGTCCTGTCATGCTGCATGACAGAAATGAAGAGACATTAATCGACTCTTCTTGTATTCTTTTTTTTTTTTTTGGTACAATTTCCTATGCTCTGCGGACTTGAATCAACGCTGCCCTCCTTGACTTATCATTAAAGGCAAATGTAAATGCATGAAAGCCATATACTACTATGCATGGTCTTAGCTATCTTATATTTTCAGTTTACCGTGGTTATCTTAAAATAGTGTGGATGCTTCTTCTGCACACAATCTGGTCTTAGTCATCCTTTTAGGCTCAAGTCTTTCTTTAGAGTGATTCTGGCTCAGAAAGCACTCCTGTCTGACAGTGGTGTCTTTTCTGCACTGGCAGGATCTGAGTGCCTCTGTGCAATTCTAATCAGTGCAGTGCGGGTAGTGGGGGAGAGGTGGTGTAAGGTTAGAGGGACAGAGGAGACTGAGCATGTGTGAGTATTTGTTCAAGAAAAAGGGGCAAAATAGAAGGCAGAGGCACGCAGCGGGGATGGGGCTGAGCCGCGTGTATATGTGCATTTGTCGTTGTGTTACAGAACAAGAGCCAAGGAGCGAGACACAGCGAGACGGAGTGTGTGAGCCAGGGAGAGAGAGAGAGAGAGGCGGTGGGAGGGACTGAGGGAGAGGTGGTTACGTGGAGCAGCACCCCACTTCATCAGGCAGCATACGGCAGCCCTGCAGTGCGATCACACAGCACAGGGATGGGGCTACCAGACTGACAGCGGGAGAGAGGCACACAGAGAGCAAGCTTGAGGGATTTGCTCGGACGAGGAGGGGGGATGATCAATGAGTCTGTCGTGGATGTTGGAAGGACGTGGGGCTGAAGCAGGTCTGTGGTCTTTCACACTGAAGGAGCCGGCGTCAGGACGTTATGCCCTGTGAGCAGTGAGCGTGTGTCAGCCAGCAGCTGCTGCGGAGACTGCTTATGTGCTGCTTGCACGTCTCAGACAGGCAGGGGATGCAACAAACCTCTGCTCTGAGCACACAGGCTGCCAGCCGTACCCAGCACCAAGGGGAACCAGGTGGGCTGTGGTGGGAGTGGAGTGTGCTTGCCTCAAGGAAGAAGCTAGCTTAACCTGCTTTGAGGTCCTGCATAAATCCACGCCTCAGTCTATTGGATCATCTTTTTGTCTGGTGGATCTGAAACTGGAATTAGTGCTTTGAGACATGAAGAGCTCATTCTCAGGTGGAGCCATGCAGCTAACCATCATCTCAGCAGCTTACTGAATACTCTGGATTTTGCGGAGCAAAGACAGCACTGGCACCTACAAGGGCACCGATATTTTCACCAGAAGCAAACAGTGTACCTGGATCTTTATCAGTCTATACTTTATCAATCTATACTCTGGATCTATACTGGGATCATAAATTGAGGAGTTTGGAATTTGCTCATCATTGAAATTCTGAGCCTTTTTCTTTTTTTGCCGTAGGATTTACAATATGTCTACCTGACAATACTTGTGGCTGTGGTGGGAAGAAATTCTAATTCTTGATCAAAAGTAACAGAAGTACCTCATCAGTGATACAGAATGCTGCTACCTTCCATGTATAAGCCGTGTCCTAACTTTCAAAGAGGTTGACCAATGAAGCCATGGGACACAGCCAGAGCCTTCCAAGTATGTGGTGAAGAGCCCAGATATTTGGGGGAGCATAAAATAATCTTTGTTGTACAGTCTAGTAAAAAATCAGTGGCTATTATGTTGTTCACAGTATCTACTATAATGAACTAGTCAATTTCCTGTAGGATGCTCACTTAGTTTTAGGTTTTTAGACTATTTAGTCACCTGTCTCTCACTCGCTCATCTTCTCACTAAAGGAATGTTTAGTGAGACATGTTTGTTGGAAGATGCCGTAGTGGTTCAGTCCAACATAACTAAAATTTCCCAATTTCAGATGGGCTTCCTTTCTTGCACTACCTCCACCCTTGCCTGAATTCTCCAGTCAGTCACTAACACCTGTTAAGTGTAGCCAAGTCCACCCCCCGCAGGTTCATAAGGGGCCTGCAGCACTTCCTCTTCTCCTTGTGTTTGAATTAGCGGGCCCCCGCCAGTACCGTGGGAGCCCCTCACCCCAAGCCTGGACCCTGTCTCCCCCTCACCCCGCCTGGTGCTGCTGCACTCGGCTCTGCTTCTGCTGGCCGAGGATGATGTGGCAATGCCATGTGTCGTCCTCTGAGTGCCGCTGCTACCGGCTCAACGGCTTCTCCCTGCTCAAGCGCTTCCCTCTCTCGGCAGATGGGGCCTGTGGTAAAGCCCTGGACCAGCCCGTGGGAGAGTGGCTGGAGCACGTGGGGCTGCCGCAGTACGAGAGCAAGTTCCTGCTCAATGGTTTTGACGACCTACGATTCATGGTGAGTCACCTGCAGCATGTCATCTCTCAGGTCACATCCACTTTACATCATGGGCCTCAGCATGTGGAGCACCCCACTCTGCCTCTCTTGCACATCACTATACAAAGTCCTCCTTGACTTCCCCATCACCCTGGTTACCTTTTCCCATAACCTTTATGCGATGCATGACCCTGTCTTTATTTATGGCTCAGCACTGGATCCCGTTAAAGAGTATTAGCTGTCACCTATGGCAAGACAAATTATAACCCAAAGCCATTAACTTTTCCCTAGCATTTCCAGTCATGTGACCTCATACATCCACTGAACTGTTTTCCCCCTCTCTGCTATTATGAAATCCTCCACTCAACCTACTGGACTGAACCTGTACGTACATGACAACTTGAATACACATACAAGTGCCACTTGCATGCTTGCTCTTGAAGTCTAACAGTCTTACTAAGCCTTGTGCACAGCTTGTTAATTAATTATATTAACATTATATATTCTCTGTTGCACAATAGCATCAGTCTTATATTATTGGTTTCAACTGAATATAATGTGACAAGACTGTTTATATATCTGTCAAGAAAACTAAAACAATTTTACTCTTAATAAAATAGGCATATTATTAGATTAGCATGTTTTGTCCAAGACATCTTCACATTTACCAGAGCATGTAAACAACAAGATTAATGATTTCTAATCCCTGGTTGCTTCCATGAAAACAAGCTTGTATAGAAATAACCAGGCCCAAAGGCCAAATGTATACATTTTGCACTCCGTACCGCTGCATTAGCACTCTGGGCTATATGTTACATCAGTTTGTCACAGCTGAGTACAGTTAAATGGGACCAGTAAGCTCAGGGGAAAGTGGTTGTACTGACACAGACTGGTTGTGTAGTGGGTCACTGTGGTAAAGCCCTGTGCTTTGTAGAAGAGCATGGACACATGTTTATGAGCACCATAGTCTGTACTGTGTGGACTCAGATTGGCTTTATTTATAGCTGACATCATCCTGAAGATGTACTATACTTAGACCACATGACACACTTATGTAAAGGTCAATTTACGGAGTACAGCTGGACAAATTCATTTGCTGTTATTACTTTGGGGGCAAACATGCTGTTAGCTGCAGATTGGTGTGCACACACATTGTGCTCCATATGAATAAGTAAAAGCCTCCAATTAACATAGTAGAAAAAAATACAGCATTGCTTCACCTGGGTATTCTCCAAAGTATTTATTTAAAGTGAAGGAATGTTATTATGTTAGTTGAGAAGTACTGAAAAAATAACAAATTTATGCGTGAACCACACTAAAGAAAACAGTTCTGAATGGCTTGCTGTCTGGCTGGATGATGCTCATGATGGATCATTAAGCATTGTGATGTTCATGTTCATGCCACGACTAATGCGTCCTGAGACTTGATGCATGGAGGAGATAAATCATTAGCTTTACAAGGGAAATTAAGCATTGCTATTTATATGTGAATGTGGAGGATGCAAACAGAGAAAAGGTCAGAGAAGTCAACCACAGTGTGAATGTTTAATATTGTGCCCTTTGTGCCAGACTGGATTTGTATGTGATCAATCTTGGTTTACACTCAAGTTGTTTGAGGGACAAAGGAGCAGCTCTGAATGCTGTATACTGTGGATCATTGTTCCTTTCACTTTAAACTTTAATACAATGATGTATCAATAATGTATAATCAAATGGATCTGGATAAAAGCAGTAGTGAAGATTCTTTGATTATCTCTGACTGTATAATGGAAGTTGTGTGTCTCTATTGATGTACATCAATGTTCCTGAGAGACACTTTTATCTTAAAACTGTCCAGAGCAGGATTCATTTCATAAAGAAATTGAAACATTTGGTGCATTTATACAATTTGATGAAAATAATGGTATAATAATATGATAATATAATATGCTATAATATTAATTTCATGAAATCCCCTTCAAAATTTAAATGGCATAAAACTATGTTTATAACAAACATGTGTGAGCTTTGGACTTAAGCAAACAGCAAATAGGACATCTCTACACAACTCATCTCTCTCACCTGCCATAATCTGCAATGATCACTTGCACCAATCACAGTCTGCCCGATCCCACATCATGTGACTGATGTAAAGTCTCCTTCAGAATCCGAGCTAACCTCTGATTGTTCTGAGATGCAGCATCTGAGGAGTCTTAAATCATAAACAATGTTTTGTCAATTCTCATGATTTTACACAATCATTTTGTGCTTTTTTTCATGGTGCCAGTGGTGGTGTGCCTGTAGACGTAATACTCTAAAAAATACTACAAACTGTGTTCTACACCACAAATGTATTGTGTTACACTGATGTACTGTAGCATTTAATCTAACCACAAGGTACTCTCTAGTCCCAGCCATAACAAAAGTGTTGGTTGTATTTCAGAGAGCTTAAATTACATTTTTACTTACAAATGTTGGTCTCTTGAAGTAAAAAAACACAGTTACAGAGCTCAGACTTCCAATAATGAGTAACAATTACTATGTGGGACAAAGCAGTAGAGCAATCTTATCAACTGTTACATTAACTCTATTTAGTCCAGTGAAGAGATACTTTGCGTCTGCAAGATAACTGGGATTACATGAAACTATCAGAGCTAATAAGCTATGTATACCATACTGAGCCATACGTTCCCATCACATGTTTCCAATGCAGCATGAAAGAATAATGTAATAAGTTGGCAATCCTCCCAGGGCATTATCAAACTTCAAACTGTGTTAAATGAAAGTGAAAGATTATTTTTGGCTTCCCTTAAACCAGACTCGTTTCATTCTGACCTTTATTCTAGCAATCAGTGAGTAATCCCGACTGCACCCTGATACCAGTCTCTGAAGAACACTGCTGCATTCTACTCTGAAGCCAGTCCAAAGAGAGCCCATTGACTAAAGACTACCCAACATTTTAGCATTCTCAGCCAGGAAGAATCCGACTGCAGCAGCAAGCCCTATCTTTAGTCTTGTCTATTGCTCTATTATTAGCAACCAATAAAACAAATGCCATGACTATGACTGTAATGTCAAGTGAATGGTAAACATCATCTGCTTGTTACCAGAGCAACGAGAAAATGTTCTTTTAAAATCTAGTATTTTCTTATATTTTGCTATTTTATAGTTTATAGTTTCTCTGCACCTAAAGATATCCAAACTTGATAGTAAGATGATCACAAATGTACTCATCACAGAAATTGTATTGTCATATAAATTGTGATATCATTATATCCCATAGGATCAATATTTGTCAATTCATTAAATAACCCTTGGTTTGAGGAAATTTAATTGCATTTAGTAACAGCAGCAGTTAACAGGATGACATGGTCAGGAAAGAATAGTCACATGGCCCCGTGTTAGTTTGATTGAGAAGGGTAACAACCCTTGGGATAAAGGTGTCCTTGCTTCTCTGTGATTTGCATCCTGGACATTGCAGCCAATGTCCAGACGGGAATCAGATGAATTCTGGGAACATAGGGTGTAATGGGTCCTTGTGTTTTCTGCTCACTAAAGGAGGACAGAGTTCTTACAGGGAGTCTACTGATTTCGGGCAGAGGCCTTTACAATGTCCTGCAACCTGCTTTTATTCTTTGGTTTAGAAGAACACTGCATTTAGGATTAGGAGCTTGTTATTTGTATTATTTCCATTTACTAGTATTCACAGGTATCACAATACCAGTCATTGTTAAACCTTGAGTAAACATTACATTTTCTCTCCCTGTGAGCAATCAGCTCATTCAAATGTTGAACTAATGTTTCATTTTCATCAAAATGTTCACTCCTAAAGGCTACTGAATAAAAAAAAAAAATAAATAAATAAAAAAAACATATACACATTTGTTTAATCGTTACTTTTCTTTTACAAATACCAAGCTGAGTGGCATAGATGATTCTAATTTCAGAGTCTTTGTTGCCTGGGATTCGCTCACGATCAGATTGATTACTCCTGGCATGCACAATTTATTTGACTTCATTGTCCTCCCACTCTGCTGTTACAGCTTGTGTCAGTGATGTGCTTTTCTTCATGTGTCTATGCCACATTTACATGCTAATGTTTGGTCATGTTATTCAGCTGGTTTAATGGTGTACTATGTAGCTTTTCTGGTAATTGCCTGGAATGCTCCATAGTATCGCATCATGCTTCATGTGTTTTATTGCTCAAATATACACTGAGAAGAATGGATTTTTGCTATAAACAGTGTCACCTCTCCACACAGATCTAACCTGTAAATTTACTTGGGTGTTGGGGGTTGCTTACTTGTGTCCATGGAGATATATATGTTTTAATATCATACTGTAGTACATTCCACGCAAAGCAGTAACAGCTCCATGGAGACATGCAAGTGGTGGAACTTCCCCCAGAAAAACTACATAGTACACCTTTAAATGTTGTCATCCTTTATTCGCCTCATGTTTGTTGTCATATCAGTACCTCTGCACATTCTTACTTGTCTATTTGAACCAACTGGAGTGCCCATAATAGATTTATTTTCCTGTCCTGGTTGTATTTTCAGTCAGCGCATGTCTGGGCTTGCAAGTGTGTCAACATTGGCATGCATCCCGTGTGTGGTGGTCTGCGTGTGAGCCTGTTTATTTGTATGTCTCTATCTCTGTGTCTTTGTGCCTGTGCAGGGAAGTAACGTGATGGAGGACCAAGATCTCAGAGACATGGGGATCACTGACCCGGGACACCGTAAGAAAATCCTGCACGCGGCACGCAGCTTGCCTAAGGTACTTAACATCGCAGTGTCTAGGTGGGACAGTGACAGAAAACACCTACGGAAGAAGGGGGGACTCAGACTACATAATCTAAAATGTAGCAGATAAGCCAGAAATGCAATCAAATGACTAATGAGGTAGCATTGTGGATGAACATGGCCTATTTCTCACAGAAAGCATGGTTTTAAAAGGCTTGTTATCTTTACCCTTAAATTCTAAACAGGAAATAGATGTCTTTGACTATGAAGGAGGTTCATCAATCTTTTCCTGAAGCAATTTTGTGCTCATTATAGATAAATGCACTGTATTTTATACAGTTGTACACGGTTTGTTTGCACCAGCTGCACAGGTTTAGTGGCTCCATATGGATCTTGTCACAAGAAAGACAGATTGTCATCAAATATGCCGAAAGTAGTCACATATTTGTTTTTACCTGTATGCACAGATTTAAAACTGACAACAGTCTACATCAAATAGAAATACAAGCAATTATAGCTAAAAGATATGTAGTATTTAGAAAGCAATACAAAATGCAAGTGTTGTTCACACATCTAAAAAGAGTGGGATGAAATAAATACTTAAGATAAATCCTTCACCTTAATAATTAACTGAGCCACCCACAATATCTCATCCTCTCATCTCATTCCAGATTGGAGAAACAATATTTATTGGAATTAGTTTTTATTTATTTATTTATTTATTATTTTATCAAATGCAATCTGGCAGCACTTATTGTCAGTTATTAAGGATGTGGAACTGGTTTGAGAAATACAGCACCAGTCATTATTGCCTAATTTAGCCCTTATTAGCCTTTGGTAATTGTATTGTATTGTCATACTTCAGGGGTAGGCACACTAATATTAACTATGTGATCATCTGTCTATCTGGAGAGATCATTAAATTGTGATTCAGTACTTTCCTGTTAAATGCAGCTCAATGCTTAAGCACAGACACATCTTTTACTCACCCACTCTTTTTGTGCTCCGCCTCCCTCATGGTCTGAGTGAGTGACAGGCTGATTTAACCAATCTCAGTGAAGTATAAACTCTAAGTTCCGCTAGGCCTGATATGGTGATAAAAATGTGACCTCATCCCTATATGACTATCTGCTATTTTGGTGAAATATTGTGAGTCACTATTTCTCTGTGCAGTCTACTCAAAAACAGACACTTTTTCTCACTCGCTTCTCTGACAGTTAGCCTCTGTAAGGATAAGGAACAGCTAGATTTATAACCAATCACAGGGAAGTGTCAACTTTCAGATAACAATTACTTCAATTACCTCTTATTAAATCCAATAAAAAGTTATAAATAAAATAGATTTGTACATGAATCGCATGAATGAATCATAACAAAATCTAAATCCTGATCCTGATGAGGAAATTGTGATATGATTATTTTTTTGACATATCACAAATCCTGTCACAGTAACAAATTTTGAAGGACAATATAATGGTACACAGATATACTGTAATAAACATTAATATTTTAAATACTTTATGCCGCTGGCACAAAGCAGGATAATCCCAGTAAAACAGTCATATTATAATAAAAATCTCCTCACTATTGCAAAGAAACACACAAACTCAATAAATATTTAGCCCAAAAATATAGTTTCAGCTTTCATGTATTGAACATTAAGTCAATACATGATAATAATAATAATTATTGTGACAGGCCTACATATCTCCCACCTTTAATCAAATTATGACCAAAGATGAAAAAAATCATATTTTTCCTTTGTTGCCCACTATATTGTATTGTATACTCATGCATTATCACACCATCTTCATGCTGTTGTTTTTGCCCTGTTAAGGTAAAAGCACTGGGCTGTGACGGTAGTACGTCTCTCGCCTCGTGGCTTGATGGCCTTGGACTGCATGAGTACCTGCCCAACTTTCTCACCACGGGTTACCGCACTCTGGAGTGCGTAAAAAACCTGTGGGAACTAGAAATTGTCAATGTAAGTATAAATTTTGCATCTACTTTTTCTATAAAATGTTTTTGTCTATCAGCCAAATGGATTTCACAACAAAAAGAATCACGACAAATACTAATTGCTAATGGACTGCTTATGAGTAACAGAGACATGCAAATATATGCATTTGCACAACCTGAACATAAACATAATTCAGAAATTATTTAGAAGTATATATAAGTAATTTGTAGATTAGTAGAAGACACTGAATCTAAATGAAAGTTATGTGCTCTGACAGGGAATATTGTCATTTTATTTAATCTGTCTAATCTGGTATACCATTAACATAATTAATTATAACAAAGAGGAAATGTGTACCACTTTGTGTGAACGTACTGTAAGCGCTATAGTGTTCATTTGTCTGTCTTGTTTGTGTGAGTTCCAGCTGTGTATTTCCAGTGCCCCCTAAGGTTATATCGGTTATTTATTATCTAGGGGGGAAAAGGCAAATTAAAAGGTAAATTAGAATAGAGTATTTAGCTTTGTTCTGATTTCCTCCATTTCTTGTTAGTAAAATTGATGATTGAATCACTGAAGAGAATCTTGTGTACAAAATAGGATAATTCTTATTAAATTAATTTTGAAACAAATGCTGAAGCTAGTTTTTACACTAATTGAAGCCAGAAATGATACAGCTGCAGCTAGTGTTGTAAACCGAGTGCATAGATTGTGTCCAGCAGACTGTTGTTGTGAAAAGCGATTTGGTCGGTGAGATGAGCAGAACTGCCTCCGAGCATCTTGGCACACCTCTCTCTGCCATTACAGTCTCTACTTACTCTCTGAAAATATCACAATCCAACAACATTGCTGCATGCTGGATTACATTCTCGCATATTGTCCCAGGGCCCTGTAATGCTGTTAAGAGTTTAATTTTTTTTCTTCATGTATTTTGTCTCTGTGGAATTGTGTTCAGACAGTAATGAGCAGCACAGGGAATCCTTCGATTACAAGATGCATAAATGAAGCCTCGAGACAAGCGATCAAATGAGCTGATATTGAGCTGATCTGTAACAAAGTGGGTGCATGTAGGTTTAGATATTAGCATGTAAATATTTAGGAGGAATTAAAATGAACTTAACACATGATTATTTTCTGTCACTTTATTTTTTTCTAATATCATATTTTGTGTTTTCATGTCCATCTGCTGCACTGGCATAGACATTTCCTTCAATATTGTAACTTATGTTTAAACAAAGAATATTGGCAAGCATAGATTCATAATTTTATTTTTTGAGAAAACTTCTAAATTTGTTCTTGTTTTTTCTAAATTGAGTCATGGCAGGACAATATCTAATAATCTATTTGGTACCTACGTATTCTGGGCCAAAAATACTTTTATAATTATGTCAATGCAGACTAGCTTATGTTTAAATAAAACAAAAAAATATAATTAATTTATAATTATATTATTACTTAGAATAAATTTGTTTTCTATTTGGTAACTAAACATTTTTTATAATTAAGTTCAATGTCAGTGCAGACTCTAAAATTATTGTACACCATCTCACATAAACTACTTAAGATGACATTGCGACATCAGTATTGTTTCTGTGTCTCTGTGTTATGTAAGTCCAAATGGCTATGTAATATATAAGTTCTAAAATGGATCTTGACTTATAGTGGATCCAGAGAAGATGGTGCAGTACTTTAAGCTAACGGCGAAACAGATTGAGGCTAAATTATTGACAAGAGTGGTTTCAGTGGCTGCCAGTGTGGGCTGCGTATCCCCAACTCTCTGTCTCAGCCTGCGCTGAATAAATGCTTGTGTTTGAGCTATTGATGTGACAAGTCAGTGAAAAGTAACCTGACCACAATGATGATGTTTTGTACAGGTTCTTAAAATTGGCCCTCTGGGACACCGTAAAAGGATCATTGCCTCCCTTGCAGAGAGACCCTATGAAGAGGCACCCTCCAAGTCCCGACGTCTCTCTCCAATCATGGTAAAAATCTGTGGAGCAGAAAGGGATAGTGAAGTTAATATGGTCTGAATGAAAGATAATTTTACCAGAAATTCACTGGAGGTTTAAAATAAATGTTTAATTATTAATTTAAATCTTTATAATATTATATAGACTCTGAGCTCACAAAGGTTGATGCATATCCAAATCTTTTGAGCCTGTTATGGGTTATGACATGTCATATGAATTATGACATAATCCTTCCACAAGGTGTCAACCTAAAAAGTTTGGATATGGGGACCGTGTGGTTTGAGAGAGGATGAGCATCTGACATAAACTGAAAGATTCTGTTGAGGTGGAATTGTGTTTCCATCATCTTTAAAACTTATTGTAAATAAAATTGATTGAATTAAATGCAGAATGAATTCTGATTGTACCTATTTATAAAATGCACCACAAAGATGTACTACATGGATGTTCTGAAATGTTATTTGAGACATTTATGTATTCATGACAGTTGAAAAAGAGCTGAGTTTGATGGGTCGGTTGCTTTGCTGTTTACACTTTATCAGATATTGCTTCTTTGCTATAAATAGTTAGAGGTGGAGTCGAGTCGCACACTAAGAGCTAATTCTGTGTCAATGGGATTTTGTGAAAATGGGTTTATTTCCTTCATCTGTGAGTATCTACTTTTGGAATGAGATTCTTCAGTATAATTTGGTTCAGAACCGTTTTCCCAAGCAGATTAAAAAGCCAAAAAAAGAGAATTGAGACTGACTATGGAAGATGATCTTTTATGGGGGATTAAGCTTGGCTGTAGATCAGGAAATCTAGACACAATACAGCTCATTCATCTGTCCTCTCTATGTGTTTGTGTGTGCAGTTCCATGACCTGCTATCCCAGGGCAACACTCCCCTGGGGCAGCTGGACCCCTACACCAGTCGCTCCATGGACATGCTCCTCCCTCTGACCGAGTCCGACCGTCGCAGGAGGGGCTTCGACCAGGACTCTAGTGCGTCTCTGCGGTCGTACAGCGAGAGACCCAGATCTGTGGTGAGGTCTCTCCCAGTCTAGCCATATTTCACTGTGATGTGTTTAATGGGAAACTGAATTTGGATCAAATTTTGTCTTTGTAAAGGAAAGACATAGTGAAAGACATAAAGATCGCTTTAACCTTCGACCCACAAGCCATTCTGCTACCTATGCCACAGTGTCCGCATGGCATCACCAACCTGAAAAACTCATCCTGGACTCCTGTGGATATGAGGCCACTGTATGTTCCTTTATATTTTAGTATCCATAATTACTTAATTCAAATCTTTTTCTATCAAATATCATGAGTTTGTCTGAATGTTTTAGTATTTAGGATCATTGATAATCAGGGATCTACGAGGGATTGAGTCCACACAAGATGCCTGTGCTAAAATTAGGGTAGGTTCAGAAATGGTGAGGTAAATCATTAGAGGCTATAGAACATGACATTGACATTCTGAAATGTACTGATTTTAGAAATCAAAGGATTCGCGAAAGGGTCCGGTCGTCATATTGTCTATTACATATAGAGGTGTAAAGTTCATTGATGCAGCTTCAAAGGTAATGCACCCACCTAGCCAACCCCCCAAAAATGTAACTGCCTTTTTCATGTCCTCCTCATACATCATTTAACCTCTTCTTGTGTTTAGACCATCATTGCGGAGCATGAGATCAGGAACATTTCTTGTGCTGCACAAGACCCAGATGACCTGTGCACGTTCGCTTACATTACCAAGGATCCGAAGAGTGGTCACCACTTGTGCCATGTCTTCAGCACTGTTGAAGTGGTGAGTGGCATTTTCTGTTTCATCACTTTAAATGCCTTCTGATTCTAACTGAAATTATATAAAGAGCATTTCTGTAGAGTGATCATTAGACATTTATGAAGGGAAAGTGGGATGTCAGGTATCCCACAGGAAAGCAGCATGTAGCATCCTGTGGACATGATTTCCTTGATTGACTTTCCGCGTTGCTTGATTTAAGCTCTGATCCTGCTATGTGACATTTCCCTCCACATGCTGAAATCATGCAGATGTCGTTTGAATCTCATATGCGTTAAAGGTCAATGACAATTTTCATTCTTGTGTGAAGGATTTATCTAGTGTGTTTTTAAGATGGATTGTCGTGATTATTAACTTTCCTTTAAGATAAGATGGCTGGTTAACTATTGTAGCTCAAAACAAAAACACTGTCAAGGCTTTTATAGAAAAAAAAATATATATACATCAAACAATCTTTAGTTTATTTTATTATGATTTATTTATAGTATTATTATTTTTAATTAAGATACTAATGATTATACCACCTTGAGAATGCCAATCTCATCTGATCTTGGAGGCTAAGAAAGGTTGAGCCTGGTTAGTACTCTGATGGAGACCAGGTGTCACAATGAGGCAGCAGTGATTCTCATGTTTACTGTTGTTGTGTCTTTGAGCAAGGCACCCATGTTGACTCCAGTGTTAATGTACACTGGTGTTTGACTGAGAGTAAGTTAATGTGAGATTGAATGTGGGGCAAAAATCAAAATTGGTCTCCCATCCAAGTACTAACCAGGCCCAGCCTTGCTTAGTTTCTGAGATCTGATGAGGCTTTGACAAGTCTGTATAGCCACAATGTAGATCAACATGTGTTCTTTTCTTTTGACAGACTCAGACCTATGAGATCATCTTAACGCTGGGACAAGCCTTTGAGGTGGCCTATCAGGTGGCCATGCAATCCAGAGCCAGACATTACGCCCAGGTGTCAGCCCAGAACCCGGAGGTCGTCGAGGCTAAAACCACTCGTCCCATCTCCCAGTCCTGGAGCAACATCCGCAGATCAGCAGTGAGTAACAACCTGAAATTAAGACCATTCAGGAAGACGAGTGTTGCAGTGAAAATAGCTCAAAAAATGTTACACAGACCTCCTGACCAACTTTTCTCCACCACTAAATGCCCACTGGGCCACCTACTTACAGCTGTCTGCGATGTAAAAGTGATGAATCATTAGTGCTTAGCCGCTTCAGCGTACTCTCTACCTCTTTGACTCACACAGAGCAGCTGCAAATATACATTTTCTTGGCTCTGCAGAAATGATGAATGAATGTTTATTTTTCTCACTACATGCCCTTCTGGTTGGATCTAATCACTTCTTTATTATTGACTGAGTACATTGCATTCACATACTGTATTAGCCTGAACCATGCATTGATACATTGACCTCTCAGGGTGTTTAATGTACAGTCACCTGAGCTAGCCCCAGCCTGCACACTGCACACTCGTGCACTCTCACAAATCACATTTTACTGCCTGCTTGCACACTTTATATATGAAGTAATCACCCAGTGGCATAATGAGACAGGCTAGTTTATAAGTTTTAGATAAGGAGGTCAGCTATTCCACATAATTCCAATAAAGTTTCTTCAAAGAGCAAGAGTATGCACAGCTATAATTTCTGCAATCACGGTAATGTTTTAAAGGGTTCACCATCTGTCACTATGGAGATGTTAATGCCTAATCCACATGGTATGGCATTAAACCCAAGCAGGTGTTTTAAAGCTGACCCTTTACCTGGTGGTGTCACCTGCTTGTCACCATGGAGATAGGTAAGGTTAATGCTATTCCATGGAACATACCAGGAAAACATCTCCATGGAGACTATCAGGTGGCAGGCACCTTAAAGCAAACTCATGAAAATGATCATGACTGGACTATCATAATTATGTAATAATATATGCAGATTATTCACATTGTTCAGATACTTTTTCTTAATGTAAACTCTATCTTTACAACCATTGGTCAACACTGTAACTACAACACCATCATAACCTATGCAAAATATTCAGGAAAACAAACTCAGTGTTGCTTTAATGGAAAGCCACTCCTGCCACAGGGTTAGTTCACATTTGAAATGCGGTGTCTCTGTTTTAACATGTCTTTGTTCTTGTCTTCTTGGTGCCTGCCTCCCAGGGTGCCCCTCAGCTCGAATGCCGCTGCTGTCACTGTCACACGTGTACTACCCACCGCCCCTCCTTCCTCCCGTTGCACTCTGTTAGCCCTGCAGTCCAGGTCCTTCTCTTTCCTTGCCTCTTTTTAACCCTGTACTTTTCATCTACTTTCACACCATTCTTGCCACAACTTAATTTCCTTATAGTGCACTTTGTATGCCTTAATTTGGACTCCTACAAATCAAACACAAATGGTTTCATCATCCTTTTTTCACATTGCACATTCATCTGCCATTTTACAATTTAACCGTTAAAATATGCTATACTTTGAAGCAGACATGCTAAATATGGGACTTTAAGTTTTCTTGTGAGTATTGCTGGCTTTATTGTGTCAGGGATAACCATAAATATGATGGTTGAAGCTTATTTGCTGGTTATTTTAAAATGTTGAAAACCATAACCAAGGATTTCAAATGCCTACTTTGAATGTTCAAAATTTACATCCAGTATAAGAGCATAATAAGCATACAGTATGCAGGTATGTGAGTTGACGGTTCCAGTCCTAATACCCTTCATGTCTATCTAAGCTACTGGTGTACCGCATGTTGCATTTTAAAATAATCAGTTAATTCTCAGTAGATTTGGTTCTAGTCTGGTGTCAGGAAGAGTATTTGCAGTGTGCCATCCTCCATGTTGTGGAAAGAGCCCAGTGTGTGTGATTATAACCTGATCACTGGCCTCTGTACCTCTAATCCACATGCACGTGTGTGACCAGGACTTGTCAGTGGTGCACAAAGACCCCCGCTGGCGCCCGTCTCACGTCCTCCTTTCGCCCCCTCCCCCCCTCCCCCGGCAGATGGACCCTCTGGAGTTGGACCCTGACATGCACTCCCTGGGAAGCAACTCCTGGCTCCTGGACCAGCGGGACAGCCACAGGCGACCGGTCAGCACCAAGTACGAGACTACCATTTTCTGAGGCCGCACCCCCTGGTTATGTGCCCCATTCACACGCCCATGACAGACAAGCCCGTGCCTTCTCACTGTGATGGTATAGCATCCCTCAGGGCTGTCGACTCCCACACCCTCCTCTGCCCTGCCCAGCAACCCAAATGAACCCACTTGTTCCCCTTGAAAAGACAAGCTGCTCCTCTCCTGTGTCCCAGTGCAGTCCTGGCAGCTCCCCAGCCTGTCGCTGCTGCGGCCAATGGTGGTGTCCTGAGACGGATGATCCCGGACTGATCGCATTTTACAGTGGCCCTGCTCTCGCAACCAAACTGCCTCTTTCTCCTCCTCCTCCTGCTCCTGACTACTTACATCTGCCTCCAAACCCTGATAGCTCCCAAAGTTGGCATTATTTTATTTATTTTATCTACAATATTTGATTAATTTATAATTTAATTGAAAACGCATGTTAATGTTAATTGAATACTATTTTATTTAAATTCACAAAACACTGTTATAGCACTAGCCTGTTATGCATTGTTGTTAGCCTTTATTTGACTATTATTTGTTTATTATTTAATAGTTTTACCTCAAGACAGTTAAAACTTGTCTTTTTCTCCATCTGTAGCCTGTCCTGTCTTACCAGGCATCTACCACTGTGAGGCACAATGAGGAGGCTGCTATGCTTGCATGGGATGCAAGATGGACTTTTAATCAATGAAAAGACAAACAGCAACATGCAGCAAACAACCCTTTTCTACGTATTTGTACCATAGTTCTTGTAACACAATGAGATGATTGAGTCTATCACTGATGTCTGAACTCTAATGAACCAAGGACTTAACTTTCACACATTACACACACAAGGGTGAATTCCCTGCACTTAACCAAGGACTACAGCCTTACATCTATTTTGTTTATCTATAACCAACAAATATCCCATCTACCCTGACCCAGCAAACTGACAACTGCACGCCCCTACTCCTCCAAAGGACCAGGACCATAACATTCCTGGTGTTATAATGCCAAGGCTGGTGGTGATTGTTCTTATGGTGGTACAGTTTTGCCCTGACAAGAGTCTGCTCCAGCCTCATACTGCCCAGTGTCTCAGCATTCACAGTAGCATTGATAGCCCCCAAATCACAGTTAGTTAAAAACACACTGTGCTTATTTAAAGCACTGTCCCTCTCTTGTGGTGCAAATTCTTGTAATTAAGTAAATTTTGTGATTATCTTTGATTATATGTTGAGCTAAGCTAAAAAGCTTTGAAGGACTGAGAGAATGAGAGATCTGATGGGAAATTACATTTGTAGATAGTAGTGAGATGAAGTTGTTGACAAGGTTCGGTGTAACTTCATTAAGTCTTGACATAATTCCCAGTTTCAAATTTTTAAGATAAAAATGTATTTTTCCATTTCTTCTAAGCATCCACATTATATTTCTGCTATGTTAAGATTCTGTTTGTAGCAAAAGTCGGGGTTGACATAGACCATTTATTTTAATTAACAGTAGCATCACTAGCTATTCATTAGATTTAAAAAAATACTCTCTAAGTCTATAAATTACTTAGAATCTGATATTTCTGCTGTTTCATAAGTTGTTGTTTATTTCAACACTGATTACACAGTTTATAATTTAAACCACATATAAAGGCTACTTTCCCCTTTTATTCTTCAGTGGTGATGTGCCAAGCGTCTTATAATCCCCATTACACGGGTAGATCCTCCACTGTTTGCTTTTGTTTAAATGAGGTACAGTACATGCAAACTGTGTCACTTGAAACTAAACAGCAGTGAAGGGATTTCAAACTACTGTATTAAAGAGACCACTTAATGTAGCGCTGGTGCCATATTGATGCAAATGGATTTGCTATGCTGAGAATGTGGCGCCGCTCAGACTCCTCCTTCTGCACTGTGATTTGAAGATGCGTGTTACGGGGTTGACACATGACTGTGGGCTGTCCGCTCTGTGCACTACCTACTGTGCGTGCTGTATGCTGTTTGTCTGTCCTCATGGGAGTTTGGACTCTTACTGTTACATCATCGGCCACTGTCCTTGTTTGTGTGTTGGGCCCCAGATGTATCGGTCTGTGTGGTACCGTGGCTGTCTCATTGCCACTTTGTTAACCGTTAGCTTCAGCGGATGATGCATGTTGGCACTGTTTTTGTGTTTTGTATCCTTTGATGCACTTGGCCTGAGCAGTCTCTGTATGTACTGTGGCAGTGTCTTTTCCATGTGATTTCTTTGTTTTGCCTTTAGTTCTTTATACACATTTCATACTCTCATGCCGCCATAGTTGTCATTTCTCATTTGTCACAAATGTTCCTCCATTTTGTATGTTACAAAGACACTCAACCTGCTCTAGTATGAATGCATTAAGTAAAAGCATTACATTTTAATGAGCAGCTATTTAAAGTAAGTTTTGGTGGCATGATATGGGCTGTGCATGTACTGGTCTTTTAACATCCATGTTCTCCTTGTGTAGCTCACCCCAGCGTTCAAGTTTCCGGATACCAAGCTGTGAGTTGAAGGGGAGCAGCCGATGTGAGTGTGTTTGCGTGTGTCGAAATAGTGGGCAGAGCAGTGGAAAGAGATAGAGAAAAAGAGAGATAAGCTTTATGCAACAACAGGGCCAACTAGCACTACTCTGACATTTAGAGCGCACTATGTAGACCCCTGCCCCATGATATAAGCCCCCACAGACAAAGGCAGCCTGTACCACAGGCCCACAGGACCTCTGTATCACTCCTGTCTCAAGAAGGTTAGCCATGGAGGGCCAGGCTGTTTCCTGACCTCATGGTGACTGCCCAATACTGTCATTGTAGGTACTGTATGTTTAGACTACTGTAGACCATTACTATTGATTCAGGTCTATTGAAGATACTTCCTGTGGAAATTATTCTGGAGAAAATGTTTGAAAATGTAGAGAAAAAAAACTGTACCAGCATATAATGCTTTGCCCATGTTTGTGGACAGAGTATGGTTTGTCAATGAAAAAATGTGATGTTTCAAATTTCAAAGCAATATTATATTAATTAAATGAAATAATACAATGACATCCAGGATCCAATGTCTGATTTATCTGGTTTGTAAAATGATGGTTAACTGAAATATGCCAACATTTCAGAATACCCACACTTAATTTTGAATATTGTGGGAGAAAAAAGAAATTGACAAAAACTAAATTTTTTTTAATGTTTTGTGATGAGGATGAACCTCAGATGCACTGTTGGGATATTTATCAGTCACCTGCAACCCAAAGGATGAATATTTATTTACTAATACTATAATATTAAATAAATATAATTTAAAGTTCTCAATTTTGGTTTTCATTATCTACTTTTCATCACAATGAATATTTAACTGTATGTAATCACTGTAATATATGCATTTCATTTTTAATGAGAATGCTAATCTTATGACTTTTGACAATACTGATCTAATACTGATCATCTGCACTATTTATCTTCCATTTTTCACAACACATGACGAGTTAGGATTAAAGGAATATCAAATAATCATTTACAAAAGTTTTATTCTCTTGATTTTTTAAACCAAATGAATGCACAGAGTTAGCAATTATTATTAAAGCTTGAATCTGGTTGCAAAATAAACAACAAAAACAGGGTTAACAATTATTTTTAATTATTTAAAAAAATCTTAATATTAAGAATTTTATTTTCACAATCAATTTATTTGATGAAAGTTACAGTATATGTTCAGTTAAAAAAAAAATAAAAGAAAGTTAACACTACAGAAGCTAAAACACAACAAAGCAGTTACTTATTTACAACACCATGAACACCGTTACCAAAATGTTATGACATTTTCTTTGGTACTAGCTTTTCCTGAGACAGAATACAGGTTCTCAGATAAGAGAAAAAAATATCTTAACAGTTCAATATATGTATTTATATAGATATAATTGTATTGTTTTAATAAACATATTTATAGGTATGTATAGAGGTATAAAAACTACTAAAAAGAGTTCATATAGGCTGTTGTTTTTTCATACAGCTGTGCCTCATACTGCAATATTCATCATCCAAAGCCCTGACATTTTAAACCATGAGCAATGAGGTCCTCCCAGCCATCCTCTTCTCAGCGCTGGTCGTCTGCGGTCTCTGGCTCTCCTGATGGGAACAGAGCTCTCCTAAGTATGGGAGCATAGAAGGGCCCAAACACGGAGCGGTTGAAGTGGACAATTTGCCCAAAGGCCCTTCCCAGCTCGGCCAAGTCTGCACTGAGCAGCCTGAGGGGGGAGGCCAGTTCTGGACTCCTTTTAGGAGGGCCCCCCTGCAGCATGGCCTGGAGGAAGCCCTGTACCCTCTCTCCTGCATTATCCAGATATATCCAGAAAGACAAGATGTCAGCACTCAAGTTCAGCAACACCCAACTCCACATATCTTATCCTAAACATATTTTCCTTTTCTTGTTGACAAATGGAATGACTAGTGTGATTACAATTGTGTGTATACTCCCTAGTATACATGCATGGTCAGTGGAATATTTGGTAAAAAATAAATAAGGAATTTGTTTCATTTAATTTACTCTGCCATAATGAAAACATCTGAACATATCTTTCCCTGATTTATTGTTTGATGATAAGTGAAAATAAATAAGAATTATCTATTTCTGACTGTCTCACCTATGAGAATGCGAACAGGGTTGTTATCCCTCCACAGCTCTTCTATTTGTCCTTTGAGGATCTCTTGGTTCTCTTTTGGAAGTGATGTGTTTTCTTGACTACATCGAGCTTCATTCACCTGCTGCACCACTTTTTCAGCAACTCTCTGCAGTGCCCCCGTAAGGTCAGCCTCACTATAGCATTTCAAAACAGAACAATTAACAAAAGAATGTGCCACATGCTTAAGTCTTCATGTTTTAATGTTTAGAGATTTCTTAATAATTGTAAATAAAAAAAATACAGCTATCTATATGCATTTAATTAACAGGGAAAAAGAAAAGAAAAGAAACTGCCTGCATTGCCATTAATAGAGCTAAGCATGTGGGCATGCTTTGAATACCCAAAGCTGCTGTTTTACATTTGTCCACTAATCATGACAGGGCTTCTCTTAAACAGAAAGAATGAGGTTAGAAGGATCCCTTTTGACAAGCTAGTAGCCTCCTGTCACCTCCATTGGTATTCTTCTCTTACCATACCTGTTCCTGGTGACAGCGAGTACATGCATCACCACGCTCCTCTCTTACCTGCTGTGACTGCCTTCTAGCAGGGCAGTGATAGACCGCTTGAGTTTACCTAAAAACCCTGGCAGCGACCACACAGCCCCTCCACACTGAGCACTGGTCACCAACAGTACCGAGGCATCCAGAGTCAGACTCCAGACCTGTTCCCCCAGAGAGTCCAGCCGGGCCCGGTCCATCAGCACAGTCTGCGAGGGCGGGACATGTATCAAAGTTTTATAGGTTGAATTAATTTGGCAACATTTTAAACTGCTCATATTTAAAAATGAGTTGAGTAGAGGGCAGTGGGGTCAAAATTATATGGTAGAATTTGTATTTAACACATTACGTAAATGTTTTGATCTGATTTATGGGTAATATCTCTGTAATTGCTAGGTCTATCCACAAGAAAAAACAAATAAGTGGTGGTAATATAGTCACACTCGCTGTCAGCTGAAAGGACTTTTAAGACATAAGATTAATATTGCTAATTTGTGGACCCAATCTCTTACAAGCAATAATTTAAAAAAAATGTCAGTTTGGCTATTTCATTTAAAAACCTTGCCTCATCTATAGTTATGTACTCCCCTACTCTCCATATAAAATTATGTCATCATCAAATTCTACAATGTGAATTCAAGCTACTCCAAGAAACACTATTATGAAACTACAACAAGATCAGCGTGATCTGTCTTACACATTTAAAATGCTGGATTTTCTACATTACAAGAGCTCTGATGTGTTTCCTCATGCATCAATGAGCAGTGGGGTGAGGAGCAGTGTGTAGAGAGACTGAATATTCCCTCATTATCAATAAAACATTATTCAAATGAGAGACGATGATGTAACGTGTGGCTGACCTCGGGATATTTCTGGTCCAGTGGGCTCCAGCGCAGCAGATGCATGTAGGCTCTGTTCAGGACGGACATGACGCTGACAGGACCACTCCTGACAGACGACATCTCCTCTGATGCAGCTGCGTGGAGCCAAGCCACAGTGTTATCCAGAGAGGCTGCAGGAAGAGGGAACATTCACATTATTATATCAGGACAAAGACTATAGGAATGTCACAATATGTAATTTTAGTGTTAATTAAAAAAAACATGTTGACATTACTATATATTATTTATGATTATCAACGTGACCAGGCAATAATGAAATACTTCCATTCACACTGCCTAAATGATCAGTATTCCTCTATGAGTTAAGACTGTTGTCATAGCGATTAATAATGTAAAACAAAATATTTTGTTTTGAATGGGGAAAAAGTCGTCAAAATGTATGAATAAGGAACCTGACACAATTTTTAACCTTCTTCGTATTAAATTAAATTTAAACTGAATGATGAAGATAAGTTATTGTCACAAACTACAGGGAAAAGCAGTGTACATTTGGGTTTAATTATTTATTACTTATTGATTACTTAAAAATAATTATGATTATCAATTAGCTGAATAATCTAGTCATCTCTATATCAGACAAACATCAAATAAAAATATTTGTTATAAATCTGCTCTTAAGATTAGATTTTAATTGGGAACATTTTTGATTTATAGTCAGAGGGGCTGGATTGTGGCTGTACATTATTGATTTTTGGAGATGGGTCATGAAACTGTATTTTAGAGTCATAAATATAGCGCCATAAGATGTAATCAACAAAATTAATTAAATAAATCAGTGAGCTTCCAATATTCTTTTAAAGAGAGACTAATAGCCTGGATAAGATTGCTTTGTCAGCACAAGCTCCCTGTCCCATTGCCAATAACTGTGATTACTCAGCTCTCCTTAGGTAATATCTGCGCCAACTAGCCTCCTCCTTATAGGCTCCCTCTGCATCACTCCGCGCGGTAATTAAAATCTAGAAGCTTGCTTTTAAACCCTTAACCCCTCCTCACCGGGATCCTTGTCCAGAATCTGTTGGAACTTGGCTCTCTCGTATTGCACTGCCTGCTGCATCAAGTGAGGCCTCAATGTCTGGACAGTGAAGTTCACCATGTCAATTTTCATGAGCCCCAACACGCGGAAAATACCCCTGAAAAAAAAAAAGATCTCCGATATCACCAAATTATCAATCTTACAATAAAACATATATATTTGTGTTCACTCTATAAGTTACTCACTACTCACTGTCCCACTGCTGTGTGAGCAGTGTCTTATTCAGTATAGAATAGAATAGGCTGCATTCATCTGACAAAATTTGATGATTTCATAATTTCAGATGGAGAGCAGTAGCCTATTTGTGGAATTCAGGTTCCTGTTATAGGCTACATTTTGGACTTTTCAGTATTTTAAAAGATAGGACATTTAGTTTTAGATTCAGTTCATTGCTATGGCAACTGTCTCAAGGGTATAGCTCTATGTGATTCACTGTTTTTGGAAGAAATATCCAAACTTATGATCCATAAATGCTGAACCTTGTTAGAGCTTTGCTTCCCAAACTTGTCTTTATAATGTTAAAGGTGCACAGTGTAACTTTCCTGGAGGAGAGTCAGCCACCTTCTTCTCTCCATGGAGATATTTCTTTTTTGCCTTATTATTTCACAGTATGGGAATAAAGTTGGTAATCACAAGGTTACAAGAGAAAGACAAGTTAATCATCATATCTGTGGAGAAGCAAGCCTGTACATCATGAGTATTCATGTTTTTCATGTTATAATTCATTGAATCCTGACCTGTCCTCCAGCTCTATCTGTCCTACCAGGGATCCTGATATGTTGTGATGTCACATGAACACAACCTATTCTATAAAAAGACATATTATTCTTAGCCCACCTGAAGAGCTCCACAGGTTCCTGTAGGTGGCGTAGTGCCCTGATCTCTTGGTCTCTCACAGGGGCGCACAGTGAGCCCATGGTGTTGATGACGTATGCTGCCAGTCTGTTCAGGTCCAGTGCTCCCTGACTCACCTCCTGTTTGATCAGCTCCATGTCCAGCACCTCGTCCAGCTCTGCCCTCAGCCTCACATGGCCCGGCAGTAGCAAAGACTCAAGCAACTGGAGGGGAGAAGAAGTTACTTACATGGGTGGGTTAATGCAGTATAAATTATATTAGTGCAGTTCTTTAATGTGTCCAATCCTTCAGACTTAAAACTGTACTTTGGTTGATACAATGTTGTATTACAAGTGCAAACTATAATGATATAAAAGAATAAAATGTTTTTTTTCTTTTTTTTAATTAATATTATAATTTTTTTAAAATCTCAGACAATATTATCGTAGTCCTATGTATGTGCTAAAACTAGCACAGACTGAAGTATTGGGCATAATGTGAAATGACTATAAAATTAACCACCAAGTGCAATGTTTATGGTCTGCTTTGAAAAAAATGTTATTTTGCATATCTCCATAACAATAATTTGTGATGTTATAATTGTTTTCAGTATATCCTTCACCTCTAGTACTGTTCAGATAATACATTAACAAACACTGTTTGCAGTCTCACTGGATTTGAAATGTTTGAGACCCACTGATGTACAATGTTGTCTTTAGTTTTGGATGATTAGGGAAGATTGCACAAAACAAAGTTTCGATTGATCTGATTTTGATTTTGGGAAATTGAGAGCTCCTTCTTTTAAGTATCTGGCATGTGTTTTTGTTATTCTCCTCTGTATCTCTGTATTATTGCCACTTGTGTAAAATGTAATGCTCAATTTATACCCTTTATATCTGGCACTTGTTTTGCTTACGGTCTTGGTCTCTTGAAGAAGAACCATGGCATGGCTGTAGTCTGGAGGATCACTGTTGAGTTGTTGCTGCAAACAGTCCCAAAATGCCTTGTGGACTATTTCAGTCACTGTTCCTTCCAAACTGCAGAGGAAAAGACCGTTACCATCTCTCACAACTATTTAATTAGAGTGCAAATAGCCGCAGCCACTTAAGGAAAGGGCTTTTTAATTTCTTGCCTGTTGGTGGGAGGGCTATTAGGTTTGAAGCTGAAGTCTCTGTTCACCACTATCTCATGTGCGAGGCTTAGGTTGGACACGCAGTTTTCCAGCTCAATCAATCGGGATAATGAGGAGCTTGGTGGGCTCCCTGAGACATAACACACAACAGTGCAAAATTAAAAGTGCCACTGTGCTAATGAACTAGATAGCCCAAGTATTAATGATAATATATGGTAATACACCCAATAATAGGCTACCTGTTGGAGAATCAAGTTTCTGTAGAGGTGGTAGGTCCCCTGTGGAGTCCTCAGAGCCATCTCCTCTATTTGGCATTATAGTAAAAGCCTATCATAAAAAATGCATGAAGTCTATGTAAAAAAAAAAATTACAGAGAATTACATTCTTTTCCATTTTTTACACTTAAAAATGGAAAAGAATGATTGGACATATAATTATTTTAAATCTTCCTTTTCCATTTAAATATATTATGACAAATGAAAATATATTTTAATTTGATATCTGAGAGATCTGACAAAATTGGAAAATGTGCTTTAAATCAATAATTCAAATGGACAAGGGTGAGATAATAGGCTATAGGCTATATGCATAGGCTAAGTGTCTTTCTATACAGGGTAGTGCTAGAATTTGCTTTCAGTTTCTAGAATTTAATGCCACACTCAATGAGCCAGTAGGCCTATTCAAGAACAAGGAGTATCACTATTTGACAAAAAAGTTATATCTACTTGTATTTGCTTTTATTTATCACAAAGTAATTAGTAATCTTAATTATCACCTAGTTGCCTGCTACAGTTGCCAAAACAAAAATGTGAGAAAACGCTTAACTTTATAAAGATGCTATTTTTACACTTACCTTGTGTCAACAGACTTCAGTACAATCCCGAATCGATTTTACTCTTCTACATATGAAGATGACAAACTGTATTCTCTGGTTCCTTCCTTGTTATAAGCCCACTGTATTTCAGAGTGAAGTTTAAAAAGCGGACCAAACCATTACTGAACGAGCAGGGGACTAAACTTTGTATCCTCGTGTCCAGCGTTATTGCCTTGAGGCGCAGCGCGTTTACTTTGAACTTTTCATGCGCTTAAATTCTATCTATACACGTGTTCTCTTACTGAATCATTTTAAGCAGAGGTGAAATTAAAGTAGACCCATTTCACATGGTTTGCTCCGTTCTTGAATCAAAACAAAACGCAGCTGTTTGGCCCCGCCCACTGTCATTTGAAAGAAAACATTCACGTCATTGTACGGGCTACTTTTTTTTTTTTTCTAACAGATGGGCTGAAAAAACTAAGTAAAGGAAAAATGCTTTATCTATGTATTTACATTGATAAGACCAGTGCTTACCTGGTATTGGTACTAGAGTACAGTAAATACTACGAGCTCAAAGCGTACTAAGGTTTAAACGTAGGTCTGTCTCAAACTATTGTTCAATGTGTAGCCTAACGGGTTAAATATAAGTCAAACATAACATGAGGGATACGTAAAAATGGACAGCCAAAATCAAGTCTGGTTATATCCGCATATAGAGACACAAAGGAAAAAAACACATTCTTAGTTTCAACAAATTTTGTAATTGCAAAATGTATAACAAAAGATTTGATAAATATTAGCATAAACAAAGCCTCTAGAAAAGTTGACCTTTCATTCCAGGCAACAAAACCAAATACACATCAAAACAACAAAAAATCCAGACAATTAGAGTATTTATACATTTGCATATTTCAAAATATTTAACATTTTTGTTATTAACTTAAGGACAGTCACTGTTATGTACATGCAATCTGCAAATACCAACCATTTAATGCTTTATGTTATAACATAAAATTGAATAAACTGAACTATTTAAGTGCCAAATAAGGGTTGTGATAAATGAAAACTGTATATGCTGCTTAAATGGTTGTCTAGGGCCAAATGGAACAATAGTCTTTTCTTAAATACTTCAAAACTAAATACAATCTATTTATATGCACTTGCATTTGCAGGAAAACCCAACTTGTTCCTCATGACAGAAAGAAAGAAAATCAATGTTTCAAAAGAAGCTGCTTAAATGGTTTCCCAGCGTTCAAGCTTTGTATGCGAGAGCTGTGAGTCTTACTGAGAGACAGACAAAGGAGCATCTACTGAATAAAAATGAGCAAATTAATGAATTCAATCCTTGGTTTTCAGACACGCACACACAACCACACACCTCATCCATTCATGTTGACGAAACAGTACAAAAACATATCATTGAAATAAGTCAGACTTGCTTAGTGTCAATGCCTCAATTTAGCCTCAACAGTTATTGTGCCCCTGGCTACTGTTGACTACAGCATGAATCTGCCAGTCTTTGAAGAATGAGAAAATTGGCATCCTATGTCAAATGTGTACATAATTAGAACACAACCATAAATAATTTATGGTTTGCATGATTCATTTGACAGTTTAAAATCATGTTAGCATTGTCACTGCACATTATTACCGTAACACAACGCATAGCCAAGTAATGAATTTTTTATCTATGCTGACTTGCACAGATAGTTCATGATATGTGAATTAGTAAACATTCCTCATTTTGCCAATACATTAGAAATACAGCAATAATGGTAATTAAATTGGCACTGGTCAATACATCCAGCTCCACCAAATCTTTCCATTGATCCCACTTTCACACTTTTGGCACAGAAACTGCGGCTGTTTGGGGTAATTTGTAAACACCAACATATTGTACACAACAGGTAGTACTAAGTGCTCAAATTCATCTGCATTATTCAAACATCCTTTAAACCTGATTGAAGTCGTTTCATTATTTCAATCTAGAAGTAAAAAAGTGAGGTGAGGTTGTGATCAATAATCAGTGCTACGGCGCATCCTGCTGCTTTAAAGGTTTAGAGTCATTGTCCGTCAGTGCACACAGACTGCTAAGAGTCTTTGAGCATGTTTATCCGTGCAAAGATCTTGAGCGCAGGTCCCAGTTTAATGTTCATAGTGCTCATGAGATGGTCCTCTTTGAGCAGAAGCAAGGCCTGTCCATCAATCTCCTGAGAACGAAACTCCTCTGCAATCTCCTGGCAACCTGTGGAAAAAAACAGTTTAAAAAAACAGGACTATACAATACAATCAACTATACAGATGCACAAAAGCTATATAGTGCTTTGAAAAAGTTTATTAATATTTAGTATGCATGTATATATATATAAAAAATAAGTACTAATACATTTATGCTTTTGTGCTGGTTTTGTTTGCAACTTTTTTTTATCTCCATTAATGTGTATGTAATTGTTCTACTGTCTCTGTTAGACCTTTATCATTTTATAATTGATGGATCTCATCTTGTCTAAATATTTGTTTGTCTATTTTATATGTACTTGCCTATGCCGTTTTAGTCATAGGCATTAGTCATAGGACAACAGAAATATGAAAAATGGCCTGCTTTGCTAATACTGGCATATTTATAAAAAAATATCTGCACTGTGCACAAATAAATGTAATAAAATATATATAATATTTCAAAATGGTAGATTCTATTCACTACTCATGGATCACACCTAAACACATTGAGATTCAAACAAAATGGACATTCCTAATCTATGAATCTGTGAATTCTTACCTGGCAGTGAGCGTATAAAGTTGTAAACCTCTCTCACATTCCACTTGGTTGGGTCGTTGGGGCTTGAGTTCTGGTTGGGTGTTTGTGTGTCTCTGCTAGGGCTGTTCTCCTGTTCAATGTTCCTGCTAGGTTGCCGGTGGACAGTAGGGGGCGCTGGAGCAGGGACTGGAGCCATTGTCCCAGAGCTGGCGGCTGACAGGGGGGACGGGGCCTCTTCAAAGCTGGACATGTCTGAGCAGGGGCTAGACTCTTCCTGACTGGGCTGGGAAGGTTGAGGGGAGGAAACGGAGCCCCCCTGAGGCTGCTGAGGGGGAGGTGAGAGTTTCTGAAAACACAAAAGTTTAACATACATTCAACATATACCAAATGTAACACAGGTGGGTTATTTGCTTATTGCTCAAGATTTGGAAAAATGTTAAATAAAATACAAGCCAAACATAAACACTCCATACATTTTCAATGATGTGTGTTTTGAACTGGTTACAAGTTGTAATGCTACATGATTGGGAAAATCTCCTTAAAAGCACAACTCATTGCATGCAAGTTCTATAGTATTCCTTTTCCTCAAAGTGTGATTATCTGTTATTATTAATGCTGTCAGTCGATACAAAATAAAGTGAACACAGTATGTTACAGTGATGTTATGCCCATGAATGTGTTTTTTCTATAGGAAGTCTGTCCCGTACCCGTTTCTTAGCTTCAACACTGGGTCTTCCTGGGGGTCTCCGTCGCCAGCGGCTGTTTGTTCTGTCTGGATGAAAAAGGCCAACACGCTTTGAACAGCCCACATTGTATCTGTTCACGGAGAAAAATTAAAAGACAATGTAGAAAAATAAAAAATAAAATAGGACAGGCAACACTGCAGTAAATGTACACACCTCTTAGCACACGGTGTAGAGCAGAACCTTTTAGATCCTTTGAATGTATAGGCAAAGTCCACCCAGCCACAGTACTCACAGGTCAACTTGGGTTCCTGTTCTTGTTCCTTTTCTGTGACCACATCAATACACATACAATAAGCATCAAGCAGGGCTGGGCGCTTTGACCAAAAAGTATCACTCATAATGATTTTTGATTAGACTGTATTTTTTGCCTTATTAAAACATTTAAATAGCTTTTATTGTAAATTCCCTGAACATTACAGACTTTTAATTAATTCCATTTAACACAAAATAATAATTTCTTGCTTGAATTAATCTTCAAACTACATGCTTTTACTGGCAGATGACTGGCTGTTGACCACTCGATTAAAAAGACCCAGTATTCTTTAAGACTTTTACAATATCAAATTGTAAACTCATAGGTCTAAAAAGCATTTCTTGTGCATAGAAAAAAAAGGAGAAATTTTAATTTGCTTTGTTTTGGTGTGCGCAACATGGGAAAATTACTGTTATTAACTTTTGCTTTTGTCATTATCTTTATATTATCCAAATATGGGAAAACTGTTTCTACTACCAAACTACTCAGAGAACATGCAAGATCTCTATCATCAAATAATGTGTTAGACAATATATTATACAGTAACATCTGCATGTAGTATTCCCCAGCAAACCCTGACTGCTGTACACAGACTGACCAGGCTGGCTGATGTCTTCAGGCTCAGAGTCAGAGTTGCCAGCGTTGCTGATGGGGCTTTTGTCTGGGTCTGAGGACAGCTGATGGTCATGTTTGGTTGGACTGTCAATGAGGATGGGCAGACGTTCCACCTAGACACAAAATACAGTTTAGATGAGAAGACTGAACATAACTATGACACATATAGATGAGGCCTTCAATATCAGTGCAAATTAATTTTATCTACAAGTTATTGACAGAACCATGACATGACTCTGTAGATTTTAAACTATTAACTCATTTTGGTCAAGGTCATTTGAGAACCCATCACTAGCCATACTGTGAAGTTACAGAAAAAGTATTGATCAAACAGCAGTGAATGTAAAATTTTGATATAAAGGCAAATCTATCTTAGTTTGTGTCTTCTCTTACTACAAATTTCTATAATTACTGAATGATGTGATTTTGTTTACACTCTAACAGTTTTTACTATACTGTACTAACCAAGATACATTATTGCTGTATGTCCAGTAGGAGGCAGTGGTTTTGCAAAATGTAGAGATGCCTTAACAAGGGGGAAAATCTGGTTACACTTTAACAGTGTCAGACCAAACAGATGCATCACTGTAAATGACAGGTTTGCAGTCCAGGTGAAAAACGGCTGTAGAGATAGATTAAACATTTGTCTTTATGTCAGTGTTAATTGAAACAGTGACGCTCATTACAAACAGTGAAAACACCTTGATCCATCTGCTATGTCACAGCTCGCTGTAATTAATGAGTTAGTCACACAGTGGTACCAGTGAGCAGGCCGTGTGTCCCGCTGACAGCTCCCTACAGACCTGTGCACTGGGGAACATGCGACTCGGGGCTGCTTGTTACACTGGCTCATGTGGCTGATAAAAGATGCACATGAAATTCACAACATGTTTGTTGAGGTCTAGCATGTTTATAAATACCTCCCTCATCAGTTATACTGCCTTTGGTATAGCAGAACAGTATTGATCTCTAAATAAAAACATCAGAATTGCAGAAAAAAATATGTGATGTGAAATGACCCATGAAAATGACACATGTACAGAAAGTCATGAAATAATTTGTAGTGAATGCTTCCTTTGAATGTATAGAGTGGATGCTTACATGTATTGCTGTCATGTAGAGGCCAACAAAACCATTATTTTGTGGGACTTTAGTCATATGTCTAAATAGGCCATTCAAGAAGCTTGATTTTCCTTCTCATAACCAATATTAGAATTTCCTTGGCTCTGTTTTTGTGAACAGCCCAACATGAACTTAAAACAACCTTGAACAAGCTTTCAGTCCATAATTGAGATGTGTGTGGTGCATACATAAAGGCTATGGCAGTTTAGAGCATTACTCATCCTTTTCATTGTAACTGCTGTACCTGCTAGTTCCTGGTCATTCAAGGTTATCTACATGTGACCCTTGGCTCTTGAACAACTCCACTAGTTGCTGAGAGACCTTGGTCATTTTTAAGATGAAATTATAGTCTTTCCACTTCTAAAATAATGCATAAACAATGCTCAGTATATTCTGTAAATACATGTAAGCAGCCGTGGTGATTTGCTAATTACGACCCGGATTTAGTGGTGATTAATCTTCCAGCCCCTATCTGTCACATTGGCCATGTAGCTGACAGAAGCATACTCACACACACAGGAAAAGGCTCGGCTCCCTCCTGGATCACAAAGCCCTCGATGACATGTGTGAGGACCTGGGGCTTGACGACAGCCTGCGGCGGTTTACTCTCTCCATTGTGCGGCGCGCTGCCCGTCACAGTGGGCGCCTCACTCTCATTTCCAGAGGTCATGGCTGGAGGCGGGGTCCCAGGTGCTGCACTCTGCCTCTTCACAGAGCCCCCGCCTGACACACACAAACAGAGCAATATGGTGTTACCAGACAAGCATAATAAATACAAGCAATAGAAGATTCTATTATATAAGGGGTAATGAATTCAAAGTATCATTTCAAGCAGACAATATAATCACTAATCAGTAACAATAATGGCTTTGGTAAAACATGCAGAATTGATATAGGCAAAAACAGCTATAGCCAATGCGTATAGTACACAAGAGTGCCATATGACAAAACTGTATTTAGACTATTAATATACAGCATCAAATAAATCTAGTAGACAATTTGTTCATAATAATGTATTGCAAATGACTGAAAACATACTGACGAGTTATGCGTGCATGAACGTATACAATAAGTCTTATTTGTTCGCTATATGTACTACGCATTTGTTTGCTACGTACAACGCATTTCAGAGTGACAACATTTAAGCTCCTAATTTCACGCTGTCGCTAAGATCACAGATAATGAACGGGCCAACAGGCAGTCAGCGGATCGATAAGACGGTAATCACACAGCCGCCTTCACATGGACTCAAGCTAACAAAACCAAAGCGAAAGTGCACAATAACAACCCGCACGTGTAGTCTGTTAAAATAATAGCATTCTTACCGCATGGACTTCTGCTAAGTTAAAGCACAAAACAGCGAAGCTTTGTTACACGTGTACGCACTAAAACAGAGGGAGCTACTTCTGTTGTTGCCTCGGCTCTGCGTGTGTAGTCCGTGTAAGCTGCAGTGCTCAGCACGCACACCATTTGGCTCATAAATAAAGGCACTGGTTCCGCCTCCTGCTTGCAGCGAGGGCACCACGGAAAACTCAAAAGGCGTCTCACGTGATTCACGGAAAATGCCGAGTGCTGCCGATTCAGCCCTGTTCATGTTTCAACCACGGAGATTTTGACCATTCATGCACAAGTCTGACTGGCCCTATGAACAATCCTTGTTCAACCGTTTAATATTAATGACAAATCTTTGCAAACAACACTGATACTACATAAGAGAAAGACAATAAATAAGGGAAAAGGAGAAGCATAGTAGTATTAGGCACTTGTAGAACATTAGCACTGGTCTTATTATTAGAGTACATTAAAACTGAATATATTATGTGTGTAGAAAACAGACAACGTTAAGTCCTACTTTCCAAATAATCACTGTTTCCAGCAAAAGAGCAAACCACCAACCAAAATGGATGGCCAACTTTGAACCAACAAAAACACCCTTTGTGTATTATTTACATGAAAATATAGAAATGGAATGAATGATCACTTAATTTTCCTTCTTGTGCTCCATTACACATTGCACCAACCACAGAGAGAGAACAGATTTTATCAACATACTACACCGCTACATAAATAAACACATATAACAGAAAATACATTTATGTACCAAGAGACAAACCCCAATCTATAAATTATTCATGCCAATTCAGTGTCAAAACAGTTCATCATGTTTTTGTAACACCACCTAATATTTTGTCACATTTGCAAATGAATTCATAACAGTAGCTAATAAAGCAGTGCTGACTCACTATCTTGTGGCGGGGCAGCTGGTGTAGCTGAGTGGGTTTTGGTCTGCTCCACAGTTTTGGGAGTTTGTGATGGCAATGCAGTGGGCACACTGTTTTGCTGCTGGAGATGTTGTTGTGGTGCGGAGGGAGGACACGTCTCTCTCACCACAAGCGAAGTGGGCTTATCTTTACAGTCCTGGACAAGTCTAGAGGCCTAGGATGTGAAAAATATAGCACATGAGAGCACATCAAATGGAGAAAACCAGCCTTCTTCAAACAGTTTTCTAACCAAAAGAAATGGGAAATTAAAATCACACCACTGGAAAGAAATTGTTGTTACTAATATCAACACCACTTTCCCAACCTACAGTCATGCCATGGAAAAAAAATATTAATACTAAGCTCATTCTTTCATTATGTGATTTAGAGTTACTAAGAACTACACAAAGCAGCATATAGACCACCACCAATTTTTCCCTCATTTTACACATCTAACGTGATCTAGATGCCGATGATTGTAAATAAAAGGTGATTGTAAATTTTGTTCTGATATTAATAATATCTAATAAGCAGCATCAAAAATTATAATTTTTTAAATACTCATTATTTTGTCATAATTTTAATCTGGCAAAAAGTTATTGGCAAAATTTTAAAGCGGCACTCCTGGAAGGGCTGGAAACTTTACTTTGTATATTATGGTGTGGAAATATAATTGAACAATGGATCTTGCAGTCACAACTCGTGTTGTTACAGTGTCCTGTCTCAACTGTTTGCATATTAAATTAAATTGTGTGTGAATGGATGAGTGGTTTCTTAATGTAAATAAATAAATACAGAAGCACTACTATGTGGACTAATTGAACTTCTTTTGTATAGCTCTTATGAAAACACCAACTGCACTTACATTGGGTTGAATCTGTAAGTTGATGGCGGTGAGCTGGACGGGCTGTGCTTTGTGATTGAGGGAGGAGTGCAGGGCGTGAGGGCTAATGGTGGAGTGGAAGATGGTGGCTTGCTGGCTGGGCGTCATGGCAGCGTGTGAGGTGGGTTTGGGTAGCACTGGGACTGGGTGCGGAGAGGGTTGAATGGATGCGGTCTGCAGCAGCTGGCCCCCTGCCCTCTGAGATCCTTGGCTTTGATGGACCACGAACTGCTGCTTGTGTGGCTGCACCAGTGAATGAGGCTGGATCTGTGTGTAGGCTGAATTGACAACAAAAAGAGGAAAAACTGACATTAATGCCATCATTGTAAATCTGTAAAGCTTCTTTTTGTACTTATCTAGTTTTTGAACATTTCAAAAGCCAAATGAACCTGAACAGAGGCATGAATCATCTAGTGTAATAGAACTGCTTCTGGCAATGTCCAACAATGAATTCTACAAGAATCCCGCTTTAAAGAGGAAGTATTATGTAAAATTTAACCACATGATTATGGTGTTAACTCATTACCTGCTTATTCAGAGTAGTATTGCGATGGATTCATGTACTCAGGAAATTTCTGTTTCCTCTGTGTCCTCTTACTTGCGATTATTCAAAATAATCAAACTCCTGGTCATATATTTATGGTTATGTACAGTTTTATCTGCAGACTGAACAAATCAGACAATGAAATAATAATGTCACTCACAAATCTGAGATTCAGTGCAATAAAATATCAGTCCAGTATGTGGAGACACTGGTATGGTGGTCTTTTAAAAGCATTAATGTTTATTGGTTTGTAATGTCACTGTCCTTGTCTGTTTTTAAAATGGACCATGAGTCCGGAATAAAGATGATGAATAGTGTTATAAGTAATTTTAGATGCATATTGCAGTTGACAGGGAAATAACCAAGAACTCCAAAATGCTCTATACCACAATTTTTGAAAATAACTTTTGAGTTTGGCACTCAGGTCTTGAGGATGCGCAACCTTCACGACAAATCTTCCACTAAAATATTTTATGACAAACTACGTGACTAGAATTAACTTATGGCGATGGCATGGAATTGCTATAATTTATAACACAATATTTATTTCATTGGTTTGTTTATATTAAATTATAAATATGCTCAACTTTGCACTTGACCAATCATGTGTACAGAATTTGACATGATATACTCTTCAGTTTGCTGAGACTGCGGTGGAATTTCTCAACCTAAGCGACAAAAAAAGAGCAAAAAAATTTAAATACACCCTGAATCCAAATGATGCCCAAAGCCATAGACGCAACACATCTTTTGAGCAGAAAAGCGTTCCTGCAACTGGTGAGACGAGCACCCTAGGGCAACTATCATAGGAGAGAACAAGCACAGCTCAGCATGACACTCGGGAGGTAATGAGTCAGTTGGTGTCCGTTTTATTTTTATGTTAGGCATAAAACTATACAAATGAATTAAACTAATGAGTCAAGTTACACCAAGGTAAAGTAAAATGTCCCTATTACAATACATCAAAAATGAATCAAAATCAATTTCCTCACGTTGACCAAATATGATTTTACCACTGATTCTTACAAATGACTTAATCTTGTTTAAGTGTATGGCCCTAACTGACATACTAGATAAAATAAATATTTTAAGTGCAGTTTAACTTTCACTCAAATGTTTTTCACTGAAATCCTTAGGGCATAGTGAGAGAAGAAAGGGGATTTCTCACAGTGGACACAAGCAGCCATTCCCATGCACATCTTTCTCAAGGCTCTAATGAGAAACAGGGAGTAAAGCGGAAGTAAGAATAATATGCTAAAAAAGCCCCTCCCCTCAAGGTCCTGGGATTGAGGCTGCAGTGACTCAGGTCCTACCGCCCACACATTTGTGTATAGCTATGCAGCCTTCAGCAGCAGCACTGGTCTGTCTCTGCATTACTCATGAGTTTGTGGAGTCCGTTGGCTCTGGCAGTACAGCATAGTCTCCTGAGATTTATGACAGCATGCGTTCCTGATGAGTTGCTAGCACTAGACACTGGAAAATCCCTGACTTTCCACTTTCAACCAAATAACACTTCGACTTCACAAATCACTTTTTAGCCGAAGACAATGAGTCTCTTCAGCCTTTACATGCAGAGGGCTTGTTTAAATCACTTAATTCAATCAAATAGTAATACAGTATCTATTGTTTTCTGTCCTGTATAGTTGTAATCTCTCAGAAAGTTAACAGAAGGATTCTTATTTTATAGAACCAGGCATACAGATGATTTTATATTCTGAAGAAAAGCTCATAGCTGTCTACTATTCACTTTAAATACAAACTCGTACATACATACATCTGCTCCTCCTGCTCTATAGCAGACGGACATGTTAGTACGCCCCTTCGTCCTCAGTGATGGGGTTTCAGTGACAAAGTGCAGAGTGACCAGGTCACACTCAACTGGGATCCAAAGGCTCAGGAGCAGAGCTTCTCCTTCTGATCCACAGCGAATTACTTCAGCATCTCCTGTGCACACCTGTCCCTTGTGGCTTGCTGCTATGGCAACGCATTAATTTTTTTTTCTAGACAGCGAGCAGCCCGATTTTCAGCTTCCATCCTCCCTTTTATTTGATGTGAATCCATTACTCTAACAAAGCAAGGCACAGTTGTGCACTGCCATGCTCAGATAATCCCCCACCCCCACCCCAGACTCTTATAAACAGGCCCAAAAACATTCTCTTCACACCAATACAAAAGGAAGACATGATTATTATTTACAACTTACCACCTTAGGTTCAGTTAAAAGGTTTACATAAAAGGACTATGGTTTTTTTTTATCAATTTACTTTTAATGTACATGTTTGTATGTTGTAAGAAATGCATCAGTTAATATCATGGTATGCCACTGAACATGGCATTTTCACAGTATATATATTAGTATATATTAGTATGAATGTGTTTTGTTTTTTTTGCCAGTTTTTATGATTATATTGTGACCTTACATGCAACCATACACCCTTAAAGAATATGGGTTTGTGCAACAGGCCTCAACATGTCATGTTAACAGCAATGAGGAAAATATGAAAGTGTAACTTCACCACAGTTGGGTGCCCATGACAACATGACAAATACAAAGAATAATACCAGAAAGAGGAAGCGATTTCTGGAAAGACAGCTATTATGGTGCAAGATTATGAAATTAACTAAAGGAGAAATTGAACATTAATGCTTTGCTTACAAGACATAAGGCATGGTAAAATGTCTATGAATGAAATCCATTAAGTTGGCAGCTCCTGAAGATGATTTGCTAAGTTCTACAATTGTGTATGGTATGATCTCATTTTGTACTGTGTAGTGAAGTCCTTCCTCACCTGGAGCGATGAGAGGTTGTCCACTGACTGCTGTAACATTGCGGCTCATGTTAATGGCTCGTACTTCTGTGACTGGAGTGCTGTCTCCCTTCTTTGACCCATCCACGGGGGTGTCGGAGGAGCCAGGTTTGCCCCCTGCAGTGGCCTGTGTGCCCTGAGCAGAGCTCTTCAAAGAGGCAGGCTGGATGGGCACTGGGCTTTGCTTCAGACTGAGAGCCTGCAGTGTCTGTGCAGAGGAGGAGGCTGCCCCCTGCTGGCCACGGATGGCCAAATTCTGAACTTGGTTCTTGAGGAGATTTTCAAGAATAAGACATAGATTATATTGTAACTACTACAACCAATTAACTTTGGGGATAAATACATTTTGACAGACTTGTCAAAATCAAATCAAAATCTTTGAAAGCACACAATGTAAAACCATAATACCCAAAGACAAAAATATTTGTTCTAAGCAATTGGTATAGTGTAATTATTAACTTGTAGGCATACCTGTGTGGAGTTGGCACTCTCAGACTGCACAGCGGTTACAGTGGCAGTGGGAGTGAAAATTAGTTGAGGAACCGCTCGGCCCAGACTCCGAGCCACCTGTACCAAGTTACTCTGCTGAGCCTTAAAATCAACAGACACATACATCCTCATATAGTTTACACAAACAACACAAGAGGTACGTGCTGTACTAGAGCTATACTTTCTATATTTTGTAATTTCAGTTTTGTTACCTCACTCCTAAATATGTGAAAAACAGTAAAAACAGATACTCTATGGTTGAAGACAAACATAATGGTATTACTTAATCCCAGTAACTTTTTTGTTACCATATGACCACCTATGGAAGTACATGTATGAAATATCCTGGTGAATCAAGCTCACCATTATGTAGAACAACCCATTTTGTGCTGTGCACCTGTGTTTACAGTGCGGCCTTGTGTACATTGGCCAGTGGCTGAGCCCAGAGTAGAGACTCACCATCTGTGCACGCAGGTACATCTGTGCCTGGCTGGCAGTGAGTGTTGAGCTGGAAGGGCTGCCCAGCAGAACGGCCTGCTGGGAAATACTGGTGGGTGTAGAGCTAATGCTCTGGGCCCGGCTGATCAGCTGTGCTGCAGCTGGAGACGTGGTCAGGTTGATCTAGGAGCAATTATGCAATAATTAGAGGCAAATAATTCTTCCTCTTTAAAAAGATAGAGTATAACAGTGTCTATGTAATCCTTTTAAAGAAAGTACAAAGAAAACAAATAGACCGCTTACAGTGGCCTGAGTGGATCCAGTTTGGGATGATGTGCCATTCTGTGAAGACGTTTGTCGTCCTGCTGCAATACTGGCCTATCATATGACAGAGAAACACATTAACATGAGCAGACTTAACAGCATACACTAAAGTGGTAAGTGGTAGTCACCTGTTGTGTCACCAGGCTCTGGAGTTGTGCTGTACTAAGACTGTGCTGCTGTTGAAGCGCTGCAGTTTGTAACATCAGATGCTGCTGCTGAGCTGCATACATCTGCTGCAGATATTGTGCTGCTGTGTTAGGCTGCCTGTGTAAGGCCTGCTGAAACACCTGAAGTACAAAATATACATTTTAATTTATTTGTGAATCTATAAATACGTTTTATCCATCTTGCACATCCGTTTTTATACAATATTTGTTTTATTTATAAACAATCTATACATATAATTGTGTGCATTATGTAAATACAAGTCATGTGAAACATATTTTGGAGGCAAAGTAACCACAATGGGTTTTGACCTGTGGTCCACAGTGTCACAGCCATCGTAACCTCAAGCTTAGTGTGAGGATTAGCAGCAGACAGCACTCAAGTGTGACGGCTAAATAGAGCATCAGCCCTTGGAGCTGGGGGACTAAACTGGACGTAATTAGGTTTGGTTTTTAATAGTTTGAAGGCTGAGTCAAGAAAAGAGGAGCTGAAAAGACAGAATTCCTCTGGTCAAAGAAACAGCTCTAAACGCTGAGTGGACCTCATTCACACAGAGGTTAAGTCTGTGAAAGGATTTCTGCTGTGGTCAGGAGGTCAAAGCCACTGAGGCTGGAAGGGAATTCATTCAACAAACGTCACCAGATTTTTGTTAACATTCATTTGTCTCTGCAGAAAGAACAAAAATGTGGCTGTTTGCTGCAGGTGTTCCAATCAGTAGGAGCAAATAGAGGGTGCTCTTGGAAAAAAGGATCAAGACTCAAGACACAACGGATTCCAGGCACTCCAAAACAGTAGAAAAAGTTAACACATCGCACGAGGAAAAATATAATTAAAAGGCCTTTATTTGAATGGCCAAAGCCAACATGTTTCAACCTCAACTGGTCTTCATCAGGGCTTAAGCCCTGATGAGGTCAAAACATGTTGGCTTTGGCCATTCAAATAAAGGCCTTTTAATTATATTTTTCCTCGTGCGATGTGTTAACTTTTTCTACTGTTTTGGAGTGCCTGGAATCTGTTGTGTCTTGATTCATTTGTCTCTGTTTTACTTGATTGAAGTAGATAGAGAAGTGTCAATCAAAACAATGTATACAAACAAATCTTTTTTCTGCTATATTAAAAATATCTCACAATTTACTTTGCCTCTTTGTATGTAGTGTGGTCTTAACTCTTTAAATATCTCTAATGTTCAACCCAGGGTCAGAAACTCACCTGCACAGTTTGCCGGTCAGGTATCCCGCTGTAAACAGATATTTGAGGCACTGTCTGTCTCCCTGCTGTAGTTGTAGTAGTGGTAGTTGTAGTACTGCTGCTCGTACTGTTGGTGGTGGCTGGGGAGGGGGAAGTTGTGGTCGTGGTAGTGGGAGTGTTTGTGCTAGTGGCAGTGGAGACAGAGGGGCTGCTTGGGGCAGTAGAAGCAGGGGGCCCTGGCTCTGTTTCCATGGTGCCCTCGGGTCTTCTGACCTTTGATCCCCGACTTTTCTGAATGGCTCTCCGGTGCCTGCAAGAAAAAGAAAAAAAAATACTTTGAAATGTGAGACCACTATGACCTCACAAAGTACTTTTTACTGTAGCTGCAAATCAACAAATTGTCTCAAAGTGTTTTAATCATTGCAGACTGGTTACTAAATAAATTTCGCCCACACCTCGCTCACTTTTACTTCTGCAAACAGCTTTGTAGTTGGTACATAACTGTTAAGATGCAAAAATCATACACCTGGTTAAAGATAATGGTGGTGCATGTGGCAACTTTCTGATTAAGGTGAATTACACAGCTCTAACAAATAGAAAATAGAAAATACCCTAAACATAAATTTAAGAAATAAATCAAACATCACATCATGAAAGCAAAAAAAGTAGATTTCATTGTATTTACTAATTGGAACCAGATTTGTTTCACCATCAACATAAAATGAGCGCAGACAATGAATTTACTTTACAGAAGCCATTTTAATGGTTAGCCCTCTGATGCTAGTCTAGGATCCATTTGGCACAGAGAGGTCAAGGCAGAACAACCGGGGCACTGAAATCAAAATAACACAATGATATTTAGGCAAGAGGCATTGGATAATAAAAGAATCAAATACGCTGAGAACTTGGGAAGACATCAGTGTATTGATGTAGATGGGACCCCTGTCTTTAGAGTTGGGGGTGTGGGGGTTCAAAGGGCCTGACAGCTGATGTAACAGAGTTGAAACAAGAGGCTGAGGCCGGAGGAATTTCTCAGAGGTTGTAGGGCTGTGTTGTGATTTTAAAGCTGAAGGAAATGAGAAGCAACAAACAAGTATCACAAATTATGCTGGAATGCTTAGGAAATAGCATGGAAGGGGACAGAAGTACCCTTTGCTTTAGTTATTTTTGTGTGTTATATAACCAATGTCAAACTCCCCAATAGTACCAAGTGTAAAATGTTAAAATGACAGATAAAATATGTAAAAGGATGGCACATTCAGCAAAACTGCAGCAGACATTGTGGGTCTTTACTGAGACCTTGTCCAGTCAAGCTGAAGGGCTTACATTTGTAAACAAAGCAGCGCAGATACCAAGTGTGCCGCTGTGTCATTAGCCTACATCCCAGTGAGCTCCAAAGGGAGGCAGTTCCCTCTGGTCATGATCCATGCCCCATTCACCACCAGCCAATCATCCATCAGATGCAGTTATGGGGAACAGCACCTCCTTTCTCATTCAGGGACATCTTCTGAACCATATTTGTCTAAAATATGTTGTGTATCATGAAAAAAGATCAGTGTCACTTAAAAGATAGACCCACAAAATGCAAATCACAATCCTACTATGTTCTGGGAATGTCAGATTGCAAATTACAGCAAGAAACAACATTAATTTTACTTAGGGAGAATTCAGTTTTCAGTCAGATTTGTAACTAGAGGAGAGCCTGCAGGAAGATCATGAGACCCATTAAGAGTTAAGAGCCTGTCAGACAGACAGACCAGCCCCCAGAGAAGAAGTAGTGACCACTATTTAAAGAACAACCCACAACCATACAAGAACCCACATGATGTTGGCTGTGGAAAGAATTTATTATGTCTTCAATTAGCAGCAGATTCATACACACATGCATTTGTGTATGTTGGTGTGCCCTGAGACAAAGGCCCTAACCCTGATGCTCCTACCTCCTGTGCCCCCCCCATCGTGAAGCGGGGGTATGCTGTCCCATCCCGCCGCAGGATGTAGCTTGTCTTTGTCTGATGGCGGGGCTCGTCTCCCAGGCTGAATGAGTGCACGCGTGTGAGCAGGTTCCAGCGGCACCTCTCATCTACCCCCCACACATCAACATCCCACTCCACCAACCAGGCCACAGCCTGCCTCCTGATTATGTGGTATCCTAGCGACAGCCAACGGGGAGCCTCTGGAATCCCCCAGCACAGAGACTGCTGATTGGACAAAGGAATCCCCTCTAATGAAGATGATGGTAATGATTCTACCCTCTGTCCCCTCCCCCAGCGGCAGCCGAATTGTTTTAGGACGTGTCCAGCCAAGAACGTAAGGTAGATACCAGCCATCACAAAAATAATTTCTGCAAACTGCTACTTAAAATATAATTTTTGTTCAAATGGCACATTAAATATTGGATTATGAATGGCATTGAGGAGATTATAAATTATAAATCTTTGTGGCATGCTTTGAATACACTGTGTTTGTTGACCTCATATCCAACTCTCAAAAAATATCCTTATTGTAGACTATAAGGCACAGACAGGAGAAAAAGATTCAGATGCACAGTTTTACAGCTAAAGTAAGATATTGGTGCATTTGGCACAGGGTCTTTATTTTAGTCAGAGATTGGCTTGGATTATGTTATAAAACACAAGTGAAAAACTAGTGACTGGTCACAGAGATGTTACAGAACTCAGACTTATCATCAAAGGTAAATATTAGAAAAAAATACTTAAGTTCAGATGTATGACACTATGATGAAAAAAAAAAAAAAAGGCTTATAATGACATGATCATGGCAGGTTGCTCAGTAATAACACACTGCCTGATTGTCTTGTCATTTAAATAAAGCCATTGATGTAATTTCCCAGCACAGTAAATGTGACATTGATTTGGGAAATCCATGCATGCACCTCATTGATTATTATCTTCTCATTATCATTTAAATTAGTTAAAGCTTGAGACTAGAGACATACTCACTTGACTAGACACCTTATTATTGCTCTAAAAAGTCATAGGAAAAATCTGCGTGTCAGCACAGTGAAATGATTTCATAACAGTCACACGTTTACAATGCCCACATCCTGGCATGGCATATTTATATGAACTTCAAGTTCAAGTCAACGATTTAAATAAATAGTAAGGCCGCAATTGACTAAAGAAATTCTTGGTCATCTCTTAAAAGGTTTCAGTATATATGATCTGACCATTCTCTGACCCAAACTGCAGTCAAAAAATATAACTGCACAGGAGTTCACCTAAAAACAACAATTTAAACAGGAAAATACTAGCAAAGTGTAAGTGTATTTTAATGTAAAAAAGGCAGATTCAATCCAAGATTCACTACCAAATACTCAGATAACTTATTCCATGCCTTCTTCTTTCTGCTGTTGTCCCATATAGATCCTCATAATCTAAATTAAATAATTATTGGTCACATAAAACCAATTTTAGTCGACCAAGACACTTCACCCAATTAATCAACTAAGCAGCTAAGGGACCACTGCCTTAATAAGTAGAATAGCTACAGTGAAGTAAATGCAATGCAAATTTGTCTTCATAATAATGTTGGTTTTAGTAAATTGCATTTTAATAATTCCAGATATTTTAAGGCAATACTGTGGCCCATCTCTCCTCTAAGGGGTGCATTTCACACTACCATGCTGCATCAAAATTGGGATTAAACTGGGTCTATAACCCAAATCTGAACCTGGACTAGAACAGGGCCAAACTAGGTACTGGAGCTGTAATTGAGCCATGGACCACTCTGTTAGAATAGTAGACTAGAGTGGCTACACAAAGAGCATCTGGCTTTCCTCCAAGTTTAAGAGTGCCAAACCTTGTCTGGCATTCCAGCACACGTTGCCTCATGCTGTGAAGCTACAAAGCACTTTCACTACATTCTCCCCAGAGGACCCTGAACAGAAATTAAAAAAAAAAAAAAAGCAATAAGGTGCATCCTAATTTCACAATTTAAATTTTATGACAACAATACCTATATATATCTATATCTTACAATGCCTTTAAGAGGCAAGTCAAGTTATCAGTTGTTCCAAGAGTTTATACTTCACTATGACTGGTTAATTCCACCTGTCTCTCATTCAGAGGCTGAGGAGTGGGGGGGGGGGAGTGTTTGTGCTGGGTCACAGAGCCGTATTAAACAGACACATAGAATGACACTCTGGCAAAATAACCAAAATAGTCTCTTGTTACATGGATGAGTGCAAAATAGTAATAGTAGTAACAAATCTAAAATAGGACTGGCTTGAGTACTAGACTAATATATGCAGTTACAGTTTTCTCTAACCTATAGAAACTCCAGAGAGTGTAAGCCATCCGTAAATCAACAGTTAAAGAGGAGGCTGATTTTCACCTTCCACTTTTAGCATTTCTATCAAGAATAGGCTCAGTTTATTTGTACAGAGGAAAAAGCATAGCTCTGTGCAGGCTAAAGTCACCTGTCACTGTCAGTGCATTTCATTCTAAATCACAGGCTTATCTTTACAAGTAAGGAAAGACGTCCTCCTCCACACACTTTAGTAAACCTGCACAACAACGATGACAACGATAATAAAAATACGTTAAAAAAAAACTGTCATCAAACTAATGCTGAACTACATATTTACAAGCAAGTTTTGAAGAGTCGACAAGTCAAATCTGGGAATCATCACTTGTTTTCATTCATAGAAAGTGTATTACTACTATCCTTCACAACTGATAGCCAGAAGAAATTGCATGCATCTACGATTATTATATCCTTGTAAAAGATAAATACATGTGAGTAGCAGCAAGTTAGCTAAAAACACAACGCCAGTGTCTGCTGCTGTTGTTTATGGGCCCGTGCAGCTAGCAAAGCCGCGTTCCGACACACTCCAGCGCATAGACCCAAGTGTTTGCTATCTTTGTCACAATGAGAAAAAATAAGAAAAGGGACACATCGTACCCTTCAGATTAAGCGGGCACCCCCGTGTCTTCCCTTTGGAGCTGCCTCGCGGTGATCGTTTTTGTCCTACACCATTTCAGACTCAGAGGAGTAGAGTATCCTACAGACAGAGCACGGGGAGAAACAGGACCATAGCATTCCACTGTGACCACGTGACCTTGTTTTTGTCCTCTGATGAGTGGCAGTAGGAAGCAAGTTCATTACCGCCCCCTTCTGCTCCGGAGGGTGAATCTGTCAGGGTCACGAAGGCCTTGAAAAATATTCAAATAGCTCAGCGGGGGGGGGACTAGCTCAGCTGCTAAAGTATTCGTCCACTGATCTAAAGCAGGTGAGCGTTCAGATCCTCTGACCCACAGCTTGATCCCAACTCCCTCAGGCGAATACTGTTGTTGTGTCCTTGGGTAAGACACTTAACTATACGTTAGTGTTTGTGAGTGGTTTCTTGATGTTAAGAGCTTTGAGTGTACTCTGGATTTAGAAAAACGCTAGGATATAAATGTGAAAATTTACAGTACCTTACCTGTAACCTGATTTGCATATTGTTTTATTTAAATGAACTAAACAGTGACAAAACGTCAAACGTGAATACCTACCACTAGATGGAGCCTTAAGCTAAGCAGCACATCAGTGTGGCATCAATGCAGGTGATGAAAGTTTTCTTTGGATCTGTAGCAACACATCAAAGTGGATTTAGCCTATGAAGAGCAGGTCAAAAAGGCAACTAAGCTCCATTTGTAACGTCTGACTCTAAAGAAGGCTGGCTCTTTTAGCTCTTCTATTTATCAAATTACCACATTATATTACACTTTGTATTGTCAAGTGACCAACAAGCAGATCTTTTAACCCCTTTATTGTTTTATTGTATTTCATTAAAATGTAGTTATACCTATGACAACCAAACCTTGGGCCTTTTGTGTAGCCTACAAATAGCTTTTGTTGAACTAATTTTGAATATTGAGTAGAGAAGAAACATTTTTACACTGCTCAAAAAAAAACAACTATATCATATTATACAGTAACTTGTTTTGGTTTAACTTTGCATTTCACTGGAGGAGAGAAGTGCTGTAAAACCATGTAAAACCCGGACAACAGGTGACAACAATGAAATAAACGGACGAGACATTATTTTACCATGAATATTTTTGTATTCATCACTTGAAATAGCTCATAAATAGCTCATAGCTGTCCTAAATCATCGTGTTACTTACACTGAGTGTAGGGCAGGTGTCACAATGACCTAATACTATTTACAGATCTTTCTTCTCACTGTGAAAATACCAGACATGAGCATTATTTCATGTTTCATTCTCGCAACTGCATTAATTTTGAATGACAAATCAGATGTTTCGTCCAGTTACTTTTAATTTAAGTTACCTGAGGAGTAGTTTCACCGAATACTTTTACTCTTAGCTACTTACCACATCTTTTGGACTTCTACATTTTACTTAGATTTGAGAAATATATATAAATAAATATAAATAATGTTATTCTTAATTTAGTACAATTTGGCTATTTTATTACTATACTATTACTATTACTATTTTACCCAGTTTTCATGGACATCAGTGACCGCAACATTAATATGACTGTCACAGGAAGTTAGTTAGCTTACTACTACTCAATACTACTACTAGGATTAGACCACATATATTTAGTATTTTTATGAATTAAATTAACTGCAGAGTGCCCTAAAAAGGTAAAGTAATCTGAACCGGTGCATGTGAAAGGTCAGGTGTTTGGACTTGAGGCTCATTGAGTTCACTTCTGCTGAAAACAAACGCTATTAGCTGTTAGCTGTTAGCTTCGGACGGGGTTTATATATGCAACTACTGGCAACCATGGAATGTTTGTGCGTTGCCACAACAGATATATTTGTATTATTTGTGTTTACTTATTGTTTACTGTATATAGGGTTGCAAACTCCCTGAAAAATAAATAAGGGACACCTCACTGGCAGGGCCGGTGTCCTGTCGATTTGAGCTACCCGTCTATATAGCACTACTTTGCATGCGCACACCCCCCAAGCGCTCTTCCAGTGTAAATGCCGTCGATTTGAACTTCCTAGGCAGAAGTGGAGTAACAAGTCACATTTTAAAAGTGTATTGGTTTTATTGTATGTTTTGCTAAGCATGTGAGTGTTAGATGTGTGGCAGAATACCTACGCTAGGCTGCAGGTAGCTCATTTCGACGGGACAGCCCATTTCAACAGAACACTGTAAAGCACTGTCGGCGCCACTGTTGTCCATGCTGCTTTGTTACAGAGGGGAGCCTTCGGGGCCTTCAAGGTATTCAGTGAAGGCCCAAGAAAAAAATTTATAAATTTTTGTACTACTCATATAATTTTTAATTAATTTATTTTTTTATTCAGTGAGTAATAAACACTACAGTAGTAATAATTTCTAGATCATTGTTGTAAACTTGGACTGATATTTCTTGGGAAACAAAGAGTTAATATAATGGAATGGAAATGGACCAATCACATTTTTTTTTCCCAATGGGATCGCCTCTATTGGACGCCTCGGAGACATCTGAAAGAAGGAGAAGAGAAAGACCTGAGAACCGGAGCTCGGAGCCCACGGCCGGGCCGGAGCTCGGAACTTGCGGAGACTCGGAGTAGGCCGGAGCTCGCGAAAGTTCGGAGCCCACGGCCGGGCCGGAGCTCAGAGCACGCAGCCGAGCTAAAGCTCGCGGAGGCTCGGAGCCCACGGTCGGGCCGGAGCTCGGAGCCCGGAGCCCGTGGTCGGGCCGGAGCTCGCGGAGGCTAGGAGCCCTCAGCCAAGGCAGAGCTCGGAGCCAAGCAACCTCGACCAATGAGATCATGAGCGGGGTGTGTGTGCTATCAGCTCATATGTCACAGAGCAGTAGAAGCTGAGGATTCCCTTACTGTAAAATTTCTTATAAAGCGCCATTCCATTGATTACACACTATTTCTGATTCTCGTGGCAATACGGGACAAAGTGCGTCCCTTTTCAGTTTAATACGGGACGCGTACTTTTGTTTCCGAATACGGAACGATTCCGTTTTTCAAGGCACGGTTGGCAACCCTAACTGTATATAAAAAATGTGCTTAACGCACGTGCTCTTGAATATTTTTCCCACTAGAGGGGGCTGTTGCATTCCAAAGTTTCCAAGAAACATCCAATTCACAAGATAATTTTCATCAGATATATTTGGTTATCAACAGTGCTTTGTGCAGAATTTTGAGCTTGTAAATGTATGGACAAGCAACAAATCATACCTACAGTCATTTACAGCCATAAAAAAGGTGTTTAAAATAACTTCCAAAGGCCCAAGTTAATTGTTTGACTGAAACAATGATGTCCTGATATGAAAAGCTGTGCCCTTAAGTTTGCTTGTATTAGTTCTTCAAAAACACAGCTGTGGGCGCACCTTTGTTTTTGCTGTTACTTGAAAGCGCTTGGGAATGAAGACGGAGCGGCGTCCAAGTTCAAAGTTTGATTATTAGTTCAGGATTTGCCCAGTTTTATTCCCATTGTTGCAGATCGTCCAGTTCTGTCCCTGTGTTTATTGACTATTGTGAGGGAGGATATTTGGTCTGATGGAGCGTCAGTAGACATCCCCTCACAGCTGGACCAGACTGACTTCAGAAAGGCTTGGCGATGACAGACTTCCTGTGTGACCTTATTAGACGACAAATATTGCAGCAGTGTTAAGCAGTTCTGGGAGGAGAATTAAGAAAATGTGTGACGCATAATGACCTTTGCCCTATGCAGAAAATACTTTGAGATTAGGGTTAATAAAGCTATTTGTCAAGAATTCAATAAAATTATGTTGTACTTGCAAGTACTAGAAATCATTCATAAATCACTTCCTTTGGTTTACCATATTGACACTTACTGTTCCTTAAAAATGCTAAATATAGAAAATATGCTCTATTGGACTGAAGCCAACACTGGACAAAGCAATAAATAACAAAATATAATTGACCATGTCAGATCTTGGCTGGATAGGACTGTAATTAAAAGGAATATCACCAGTGAGTGAGCACATGGTACATGGCAGTGAGGTTGCAGGGTTTGCTGCGTAGGAACAAGTGTTCAGTGTTATCGGGACATCCTCTGAATGAATGGCCCACACAACACTCGCACCACTTCTGAGTAAAGCCTGGTGATTCTCTCATTGGTTTAGCTGCCAGAAGATTATATAATAAGCAATCACCTTGCACAAGAAAACATGTGAGAATTGTCTGTCAACATAACACATTAGACTCGTGGAAGTAAAGTCCTGTGACGCAAGAAATCCACTAAATCCTCTGCGATTCAAAAAACAACTAATGAGCCTTAAAGGAACATACAAGTCAATTATGTGCTGCCATTTTAAATTTAGACATGTTACTGTAGCAAAGAGTGGTTAGTTATACTGACAAAATATAGGAAGCAAAGAGAAATGTCTTTTTTTAGAGATAATTGGTAGGATTTGCATAATAGGAACTAGTTCTAGAGAAATTATTTTATTACCCGAGCCAGTCTGATGACCTTCCAAACTACTTTGTGAATAGATGTAGCTGCTTAATAAGTCAATGCACAAAGATAGCTGTTGAGGGGCTCTTGGCAGATATTGCATTTGCAATAGTAGTGAGAAAATGTGAGTCTGAATAATGATTTCTGTTTGTCACATTTCACATCACCCCTTCAAACCATCAGTTACTGTAAATGTTTGTGTTACCACTCAGAGTCAGATGCCATTTCATCTGTTTCATCTGGATGTTATTATATAATCTATAATGTGGTAGTTGTACTCTGACCTATATTTGTAATTGGTGGCAAGTTTGATGGCAACTTAGCAAACACTATTTCCTGCTTAAGGTCACTTGAGGTAACAGATGGTGGAGTTAGTTTGATGTTGAAGTGTGACCTACATTTGGCCATGGTCTTTATCCTCCTTTACTTCGTTCTTTAGTTTTTTGCCAGACAAACTCACACGTTGTTTGCTATCGGCTTATTGGTTTGGTGTTTTGTTATGAGTATGCTTGACCTAAGTGAAAACATGGCACGCTCCCTTTTCCACTGTGGTTTTGTGGTGAAAATACTCATAATCATGACTACTGAAAGCTTCTGAGAAGAGAGTTGTGAGAGAAAGAGCACGTATGCAATGAAGGTGGTACTTAATCAGGAAGTAATGAATGA